GGTCCCGCTACTGAGCGTTTTTCATATATTTTCGATTATTTTCGGCATTTTCCAGCCCCAGCGAATCTTGGGTGAATCTGGGTGAATCTCACCTGCGAATCTGGGCTCTGGCTTAGGACCTCCGAGAATTCACTGCGAATCTGGTCGCCGGACCACATTCGCCGGACACTAGCTTCGACCTGATGCTTCATGAGCAGCGTATCCTCAGCAAGGCACTATCCTCTGGAGAAGTGCTGGTATTGAAAAACTAGTTCGTGAACAGGACAAACAAAACCATTGGAGTGGACGAGCCACTCTTGATGTGGTCAGTGTCACTGGTTTACTTGGTCGATTCTCGCTGATACGAATTGCTGCAGGCCGAGTAAGTCGAGAATACATACATACTGTGGTGGAAGGCGGGGGTGGGAGATCAGATAGTTCTTTGCAGAACACAAGGAGCCAAACGAGTCAGCAGAGCGAGCTGCGGTGCACCTCGTCTATTCCTGTCTTCTCCGTGTTCTCTCCGAGTCTCTCCGGCGAATCAGTATACGATTGATCGTCCAATCAGCGGGGCGTGCAATGTATGGAACGGAGATTAGTACCTTGCAGGATAGCGCACGGATCGAGCTATAAAGAGCTTGCGGTATTGCCATGTCCGCTCAGCATCATCCGACCCACCCATATCCGGCGAGATTGCTTCAAGGATACTTTCAATGGCATCTGAGTCCCCCCGCTTTCCTGCTGGAGTCCGCATTCACAAAGAGTGGGTGGGTCGTCACGATCCGTCATGGTAACTTACTGAAATGAACTGCAGTGTGTATCCTACCATCGATCCGACGCATGCCTTCGCCTCTCAGTCATACGCCGGCAAGGTCGTTCTTGTCACAGGTGCGAGCGGCGGATTAGGCTCCAAGATAGCGCAGTTCTATGCGCGGGCTGGCGCATCAGTCGCACTGGTTGCACGGGACACAGACAAGCTCGAGGAGGTCATTACGGGCGTACCGGGAGCGGGAGTGCGGATGTTGGCACTCTTTGCAGATGTAACGGACTTCCGCGCTGCCGAAGCGGCCGTGAAACAGACGGTGGAGAAGTTTGGGAAGCTCGATAGTAAGTGGTGTGTACTTTACCCACTAGTACGCCGGGTTCTGACAGACTGTAGTCCTCGTAGCGAATGCAGGCGTTATAACGTCCTATGCCAAGAGTGAGCTCCAACTCCAACAAAGGTTGTCGACGCGTCGGTGTAACAGAATCGCTTGTTGCAGATATCCTTGAGAAAGACCCTGACGTCTACTGGAAGACCTTCGAGGTCAACGTGAAGGTATTATCCTGGAGATAAGTGCTTGACAAGAAACTGACCGTGGCTTGTAGGGTGTATTCTCTTTCATACGGTACGCGACGTCTCGTCTTCCGATCTTTGGGTAATCTCAATAAGCCCGATCCCAGTGCTTCTCTTCCAGAATTGCAGAAAACAAAGGGTCGAGTCGTTGCCGTGTCTGCTGGACTCGCGTACATGAACGTCCCAAACAATAGCGACTATGCAATCTCTAAGTTGGCGGTGAACCGTCTGGTCGAGTTCATTCCTGTTGGTAAGGACACCGCTTGTACTTCCTAGCACGGTGCTCACTGATTTGCCCGATGTAGAGTTTCCGTCGGTGTTTGCTATCGCACTTCATCCCGGCGTCGTCGAGACGAAAATGACCACGACCGTAGACCGTCCTGCTTCTCTACCCGCCACCAGGACAGGCTTTGATACGCCAGAGCTCTCCGCGGCCACCATACTGTATCTCACCCTCGGGGAGGGTGCGAAGTGGCTGAATGGGAGATATTACTCTGCCAATTGGGATATCAGCGACGTAGAGAATCTGTGGAAGGAGAAGATCATTGCTGGGAATGCCCTTGTGACACAGCTCGGGGCACCGGTGTGAGAAGAAGGCTAGCTGACTGTCACACCAGGATCTGTACATAGTATGTCCGTAGAACCGCATCCAACAGTCTTTGGACTGGTAAGCTATGATGAAGGCCTGGTGCTGGTCCCCAGATTCGAACCCTCGATAGCCTGGGCTCAAGCTGTTCAACGGGTTCGAAACCCCGACGGGCCGCCCACTAAAAGTCCTGATTTACGTGCACGTGGAGCAGTCCTTTTTTTCTTAGACTCGCTTTGGTCTGAACCACCACCGCATGAGAAGATCAACGTTTCAACACTTCGCCTAGTATACAATGACTCTTGATGAACTTTCCTGGATCCGAGGTTGACCCTGACAAAAATATCACTGAGCGCTCAAAGGTCTACAGACGACCTTGCTGTTCTCTGTACATGTGCTCGTTCACGTACTTGAATGATGGGGCTCATTCAATAATCCGCTCTCGATCCGCCTCCCTGAACTACAGGCCCGACGGGATAGGGCAGTGTCCGGCATCCTTGTATACAGTAAGCTCACCGCCCGTCGAGGAGGCATGCGTTGCAAGTCTGCTGTTCGACGCGGTCACGTACTGCTGTCGGCCTGTCTTGACCGTCGGGAATCAACAGTCCGACAGCTCCAAAGCGTAGATGTTCTCTTCGCGGGAGCACGCCTTAGTATCCTACTCTTTGCTCGCGGGTCGTACTGCTGACGTAGTCACCACAGCGATCGCGCATCACTCGAGTCGCTCCTGGTTAAAGCTTACTGCGAGCACATCCGATTTCACTCGGCGCCGTGCGAGCGAAAATAGTCCACTCTATTAGCCGTGTAAACCTTGGCATTGGTCGTTGGTATTACACGCCTTGATCTCTTGCGGTGATTGCGCGTTGAGATCCCGTTCAGTAGTGGCACAAATCTCTGCCGTTTGTTCGGGGACTCGCGACTGCCGTGGTATCCCTGATAGTCGGTGCACCTAGACAGGACTCTAGACAGCATGCACGACGGTATAAAAGCACCACCATACCGCTCTGTCATCTTCAGCATCCTAAGCTACCTCACACTCGAGCCTCTTCAACAATGTTCTCCTTCAGTCTCATCTCCACCGCTGTCGTCGTTCTTTCCGCTCTTGCGGGCGTTCAGGCCGAGTCGCATACCATCACCTTCACCAACAAGTGCGGTCGTGGCAACGTACGCTCCTGCCGAGCTTTTCATTCCGCTACATGCTCACCATTCCATGACAGCCTGTCTTGCGTAGCCAAAGCGGCGCGACCCTCTCGACTGGCGGCGCATACACTATCAACGGCCCGCTCATCGGTGCCATCGCCTACCTCCAGACTGGCTCGTGCGGTGCCAATGGAGAGGGCTGCACGCTTGGTCAGTATTCTCTACACGCAACAAGAGCCTTGCGTTGACGTGTATCTCCAGTTGAGACGACGCTCAGGAACCCCCCGTCGCCGGGCGCAGGGTCCAGCACGGACCTGTCGTTGATCGCGCCGCACGCGTTCAGCGTCACCACAGGTGAGATGCTCGGCGAGTATGTATCCGTGCAGACACTAATTGCTCTCAGGCTTCGGGTACTACAACGGCTGCGACGGCGCTGGTGCGGACTGCACGAACGCGAATTGCCCCACCGCGTTCCACGTCTCCACTGACAACCAGGTGCAGGTGGCTTGCCAGACCAACAACGTAAGCAATGGAGAGCTGCCTGTTGCAAGTGACGATGCTGAAAGAATTATAGGTCAACCTCGCCATCACCTTCTGCGACTAAAGGAAGAGACGACAAGCTCCTCTCGGCGACTTTCTTTTCAAGGGTTTTATGTCGGATTATATAGTGATCCCAATGTGTACAATGTGACCGAAGTAATGAGAAAAACAACATGCTCTATGGTGACCATGCGCGAGAAGGCTTCAGGCGGGACACGTTTTGGTACTGATGCAAGCAAATATACTCCATGCAGTGACATCGACAGATGTCGTGAATCCTGCAGAGAGCGTTATGCGGCGTTCGGCAGCTTCCAAGTCCGACCCAGCTTGAGGCCGTCGTACGACGCGAGTTGACGGTGTTGATCATCCAGATGATGGTGCGGGACAAAGCATGTGGCTCCTAAGAGCCGCGCGATTCGCGTCATGGTTCCGCTCTCTCACCTTCCCATCTCCCTGTTACTCTTTATCTCTGTTATTCTCTTAGCACCTCCTTACACCCGCGCCGATGAACTAGCCTCACGCCGGACGGATGCGTATACGCGCGTCGGTCAATTCTTTGATCGTAGTGCAGTCGGCCATGGCTCGGAGAGCACACATACCAATAACTGGGCTGTGCTGGTCTGCTCTTCAAGATACTGGTTCAACTACAGGGTACGCTGGGTCCAGCACCGTTTTTCTCGATCTATCTCTGACTCTGACATCAGCATATGTCTAATACTCTCGGAATGTACGTGCACTCTCAGTGTTGTTGCGCGCCACGACGCTTACTGATCCAAGTTGCACAGGTACCGAACGGTGAAGCGGCTAGGCATCCCCGACTCGAACATCGTACTCATGCTTGCCGACGACGCTGCATGCAACTCTCGCAACCGGTTCCCTGGATGTGTTCATGCCGACGCAGGGCGGCATCTCGACCTGTACGGGGAGAACATTGAAGTCGACTACCGTGGGTACGAAGTCACCGTGGAGAGCCTGTTGAGGCTGTTAACAGGTGAGTATACTATTTAAGGTGCTCGCGGCTCCGCTGACTGACTGAGTATTACCAGGTCGTGTTGACCCCTCCGTCCCAAGATCCAAACGCCTTCTCACGGATGACCGCTCGAACATCTTCGTCTATATGACCGGGCATGGCGGAAACGAGTTCCTCAAGTTCCAAGATAACGAAGAGCTGAGCGCCTTTGATATCGCCGACGCCTTCGAACAGATGTGGCAGAAGAAGCGGTAAGGGTTTCCTCTCCAGTCTGGCAAGTCCCCTTACTGAACCTGCGGTGCCGTCAGATACCATGAGATGTTCTTCATGATGGACACCTGCCAGGCCAACTCCATGTACTCGAAGCTGTACTCGCCGAACATTCTTGCGACAGGTTCATCCCGAGTTGGCCAGAATTCGTATTCGGTGAGCTCAGGTGACTTGTTCTCAGTGCGTCAACTAATGTGCATCTAGTACGAGAACGACGCGGATATCGGGGTAGCAGTGATTGACGGCTTCACCCACTTCACCTTGGACTTCATGGAGGGCATCAATAAGACAAGCACTGCGACGATGCAGGACTTCGTATGTCTCGTGGTTTGGCTCGTTGATCATCGACTGATTGCGAGTCTATTCAGTTCAACACGTTCGACCGCGAGAAGATCCGCTCAGATCCCGGTGTTCGCTCTGACCTCTTCAATCGACCGCTGGACCGCACTCTAATCACTGATTTCTTTGGGGGTGTGGCTCATGCGGAAGTCCTTGAGCTTCCCTTATCTCCGGCAGGAGCGATTGACGACCCCTCGCAAGACGTCCATGAGAGGCCATTGGATGATGTACCCGTCTTGCAACCGTGGAAGCCAGCCGCATCCCCGCAAAGTGATAGTTGGACCAGCAGGGGCCTCAAGATCGTGGCGTCGCAGGCGATTGTTGGTGGACTCGTGGGCTTCATGGTTTTGAAAAGTCGGAGATCATGAAAGTTCGTTTTGCCGCTATGCAAATGGCATCCGATTTTACGTGTATACATGGCATGTGTAGGACGTGATACACTGTGAAATGAACAGCTCTTTTGTGTCAACGGGTATGTCGGACACGTATCCTGACCGCCCATCGTCAGATTTCCGTATGCACGCGCCCGCCGTCTCTGATTGTGTCAACCGCATCCCCATCCAGCCCCACTTGCAGCCAGCACATGCCGCTAAGGTGCGCTGCCAATACCAAGCGGCGACATATAAGGCGTTCGTGACGATGCCTGTCCTTCACACTCGCCCTTCATCTCTCATCCTTTCCTTCAGCTATGTCGCAAGGTCACCACAGCTCCGAGATCGCCAACGATGCTGACACCGAGCTCGTGCTGTCGCTCATCAATGAGCCTACGTCAACGGGGAACCTCTTCATGCCTGGTGCCAGCGCTGCGAGCGCAGCTGTACTCGTCGAGAATCTGAAGCATAATTACCTCCACAACAATATATTCTTCAAGGTAAGCTACATCGTACAGGCATCGCTTCGTTATCCTAATGTCGCCCCTCCTTCACCAGGGAGTTCTTTTCCACAAGTATGTGCAGGCCATCCATGTTTGTTGACGATATTCCTGACAACATGTTGGATAGCCATTCCATGGACCATACTCTTGCAGTGTACGCACTGGGAGGTTCTCCTGAAGCCGTTGCGGAGGTTTACAAGTCGCACAACTATAATGAGCCCATCCTTCCCAGTCCGGAGCCTATCACGGACGCCAACGTTCTTGAGCACCTGGGTGATGCGAAGTATGTGTACTGATCCCGTCGGACCTAGTGCTGCCTGCTGATGGGCGTCCACTAGATTCTACAATGCCTATGTGATCTACTTCTGCAAAGCCCTCAAAGCCGCATCATCGACTGCCGATCTACTCGACCGATTCCTCTTCTCTCCCGCATACAATTACAACGCAAACCTCCCTGCCGGAGCCCAGCAGCCGCTCATGGTCGACCGTTTCCTAGCCGCCATATTTCACCCTCTCATTCACCTCGGCTACGGCGTCGAGTTTGGCATACAGCAACAGATCGCTGAAGGCCTAGCGCACGCCGCCGTCCATCCGACGTACGAAGCTGATGCGTTCTCGCCGGACCTATTCACTTCGGCGGACCCATACGCGCGCGGCCTCTCAGGCACAGTTAACTCGACGTCCAAGGAGCGCCCATCGTATCTCTCCCTGCTCTTCGACGTGCTCTCCGACCAGCGTCTGGGTCCTGAGGGGCTCGACCTTCCGTTCGAGGAGAAGCCGGGTGAACAAACCTTCCTCGCTCTAACGAAGGCAGGCGGCCCCAAGATGGTCAGCGAGCTGGTCAACAAATGGTACGACTCCTGGACGGTGGGCATGAGCGACGATGAACTGGAGGACCGCATTGAAGGCATGGTCGAGGACGCTGTTCTGACCGTGTCTGTCGTCTATGGGGTAGGCGGATACGCCGCAAAGGGCGACCGCGTTCTCAACGCGGACTTCGGCGCCGCTCACTTCGTGACTAGGTCAGTGTTGGTGCCATCTCCGTCCTGAATCGAACCAACACGATTTGCAGTGCCAATTTCATCCTAAGCCTGTGTCTGCGACAGGAACGTACGCGCGTGCAGGCTCTACAACCCCCACTTCCGCTTGCCTCGCGCCTGCTCCTGCTCCGAAGCTACCTGACAGTGATCATGGTATGGTCGATTGGACGCCCGCTACCGACTATGGACGCCTTCACCGCCTCCATCCCGAAATTGTATGCCGATACGGAGGCGTTGCTGACACCCGCTCCGCCAAAGCATGCCTATGCCCTTGGAGAGACGCCGACGCGTGACTTCTGGAGCTCCGACTGGCAGCGCACGATGCCCGTTGGCGCGCGTGTCTGGCCCAAGCTCTTCGCGAGCGCGACCTCGCACCCCAACGAGCATCTCCCTAAGCTCATACGGTCTCTTGGTGTCGCCGACGCCCTATACGGTCGTCGCGGCGCGGGCGCATACGCGGGCGCGCTGAAAGGCACCGAGGTCTTGGACGGCACGTTCTTCCTCCGAGTAGCAATCTTGACTTCGGAGAGGCTGGGGTGGGCGATGGATGATACGCCGAAGCCGCAGTGGGATAGGGACGGATACTGGTTGGCTGCTGCGGGTAGAGAGACTCGCCCGAAGGTTGAGAAGACTACTCAGTGGTAGCTAGTGTGCGACATCATCGCCATCCCGTGTGCTGCGTGCATGAATGGGTGTTTGCTTCTGAGTCAGGTCTTCATTCCCACAACGCCTTCTTCATACCGTACATCGGGATATTCGCGGCACTGTACCAGTAACAACGATGCATGTTCTCGCCGTCTTCTCTGTTGCCATATGTACCTCATTACATCATTTGGAAATCCGGGCCCTTATAAAAGCATGAATGTCGACCAAGCTTCGAGGCTGCCATTCCCCATGCGTTCATCGATCATCCCGACAGCGGTGTTCCTCCTAGGAGTGTCGAGCAATGCGCTCGCGCAGTCAAACCTCCCGCCCCTAGTTTGTTCTGTTGTCGAGAGCACGTCCAGGGTACAACACTAATATTGTGCTCTCGCATAGGGCTCAGGTGTTTTCGAAGTCAGCACGCGTCAGTTGATCGACGCTCCTCTTGAGACGGTGTGGAATGCCGTTCTCAACTTTTCAAGCTACCCCGACTGGAACCCGTTTTCGAGGTGATACGAAGCTTAGGTTGATCATGATTGCTTGCTCATGCCGCGCACATCGTAGGTCCCAGGTTGTCTGCGACGAGTTCTTCATCCCACTTGACAACCAGTATGTTGCCTATTGACGCAGCTCGGGCAATCCTGACGCCATCTAAGAACTGCATTCGAAGGGGCAAGGATCATCATTAACGCCCAGATACCCCCTCTGCTTGTGCCCGTGAATCGGACAACGCCGTCGAATCCCTTGCACAATCAAGTCTCCTTTGAGAACATCACGCACTTGCAACCCGACTTGCATCGTGTCGCATGGAAACAGATAGATATACCCGACATCGCGGTGAATGCGACACGTTGGACCGCTGTGAGTACTCTCGTCAGATGACCGTTGACATTGTGAAGCTGAAAGCTGGACTCAGGTCAGTACGGTCGATAATATGACGCTATATGAGAGTGCGGAGGTATACGGTGGTGGACTTGCGGGAGTCGTGGAGTCGTTGTTTGGTGAGGGCTTGCAGGAGGCTTTCGATGCACAGGGCGTCGCCTTGAAGGAGCTGCTTGAGGGTACATCATGAGGAACTCCGTCTGCGCTCTGACATTGCACTTTCCCCATATACCCGTAGCTCTGAGTTTCGGTTCTGAGTAGTGCTTGTCTGCGTGGACGGGGTACGGTCATTGCAAGGGCCTCAGACGCAGCTCGTTTATCAGGTTGATAGAGAGCAAATTGGACAGTTGTACAGGAGCCCGCATAGCGGTCCATTTTAAGAGAACATACAAGCAATAAGAACGCACAGAATGATCGCAGAGTCAATCTGCGACTAGAAACCGCGTCCACGCCCCCGTCCACGCCCCCTTCCGCGCCCACGGTCACCACCCCTGCCGCCCCGTCCACGGCCCCTTGCATCATCCTTCTTCTTGTTCTTCGGCTTGGGTGCGTCGTCGACCAAGAGGGTGTCCAGGGGAAGAGCGTCGGGCAAGACAAAGTAACGGATGTTGTTGCCGCGGATTGACAGGCTGTCAAGCGACGTCGGGTCGCGGTTGCGCATCGTCATCTTCACCGCTTTCAAGTGCGTGTTCATCTGCATGTCCACTCCTACGAACTGTGTGAGGACGATATTGCACCCGAATATGATTGAGAACGCACCGGTGATGGTACCATGTACAACAGAGCCGTTCTTCAGCTCAATCGTCACCGTCTCGTTATTCAACTTCATGAGGAACCTGGGAAACAAATAACTCGCTCAGCCGGGGTCTGGGACAGGGATTTGAACAATGAGGGGGGTAGATGATGTAGACTGCGGTTACCGAGCAAATAGTAGAATTGTACATACCGTACGAGCTTCATGTTGGGCGATGGCGCGAGAGTTTAGTGGCGCCGATGAAAGATGGTGGTGGTCGATGTCGAACGCGCGCCTCGACGCGAGCGCGTGTCGCGCGCCGCGTCGCGACTCATGTCCTTTCGGACCATCACCCAGCTGTCTGTATACGCAGGCAAGTCGCCTCACGTACTTTATCTAAGATATTTTGCAGGCATGCTCTGAATACGATACTTCGCTACTCTTGACGTCTCGCTAACTTGATACTGCTCGTGTGCTTCTCTGCGGTTCACTCGTCTCAGAATATCCAGTATTATCCACATTAGATTTCAACACAAGAGGCCTAGGACCCTACTCTATCGGCTACAGAGTCGCTACAGGACCAACGGTGAAAGTACAGTACACATATGTTGGGGTTTGACATGGGCATAAGGGGGTCGTTACAATCATCAAAGAGACCAGGAGAACCGCATGAAGCCGAAAACCGCGCCGTCTTTTGAACGGCATCTGGAATATACAAACCTTAGTACACCCTTCCAACGCTGACATGCGGAGCGGCTACATGTGCAGCCTTCTCCGCTTGTACGAGAGAATGGTGTTGGCCGAGGCGTGAGAACAACAGGGCTTCGAAGTCTGAACGGGGTGCTGAGAAGCGCAGGCGGTGTGATGCAGGCGGTTGAACAGTGGGTCGAGATTGAGGGTGTGAGCGTTTGGAGTAGGCCAAGTGGGGAACTGTAGCGGTGTAGTTGAGCGGGAGTGTGGGCAACATATTGAGGGTTTAGACTCACGAGTATATTCCTCGACCGAGCTCTCCTGTGCTTCGTCCCTTACGACCTCGGCATGCTTCTCGTGAGTCTCCTCCTCTTCCTCCTCCTCTTCGTCTTCCTCCGATAGCGATGTCAGTTGGGACATGCCTCCCCTGCGTTTGATCGCCGGCCCAGTAATAGGTACTGGCGCTTGGGGCTCGAACGACATGGACCAGCTAGGCAGTTGTAGTACAGCATCTTCGTCTATCGTATGCATCTCCGGTGGAGGTGATGCCGTAGCTTTAGGGTAGACGCGGTGCCATGACGGACCGTCGGGCTGTTGGTACGGCGTCAATCACATCATCAACTGTCGCGATGACGAGAACGTACGTTGAGCTGCGCCCAATCTCGCACTTCTGAGCGCAGATTTCGGGGAACTCGTTGGTCGTTAGGTGTATTCTGTTCGTTGGGAGATGGCGGGCGCTGAGCGCGGACATGCTGGGGTTGGGGAGCGACGGGCGCTGGCGAGGAAGTCTCCGTCTGTGGCACGAAGTAAGCGCGCCACTCAGAAGACAGAAGCACATGGAACATACCTTCACCTGAACATCCCGACGGGCCAAACGCAGACGGGCTGCGCCTTTGAGTGCAGAGAAGAACTTGGCGAGGAACATGGCGTCTTGAACGAGGGATGCGGATTGGAAGAGTTTGGTGTCGGCGACCGGTTCACAGAACACTGGTCGAACGCAGGATGGGCGACGTTTCTCTAGGGCCGAGGGTGGCGCACAAGTCGGCGGGGAGGTAAACGTTGAGGAATCCATCGTGGGCTCGAGTGCACTGTGCCTCATGTACACTGGAGTACCGGCCCAAGTATCGCACAGCTCGTCGGGGTGGGGCAAAGCGTTGGCCACAGCTTCAATTGACAAAAGATGTAGAACAACAAGTGAGCGGAGCGGAATCAGGCTGGGGACAAGCGTCTCCGTAGCACGGAAGAACAATGCCTAGCGGCACACAATTGGCAGGGTGCGTAGCAGGGCGGGCAGGCGTGGTGACGGTCAGGGAGCAACCTACGGCACAGCCGATGATCTTATATTAGCTGACCCTGTATGTAAAGTTCGTATGAACGCCGCGTAGCGATAAGTACCGAGTCAGCCGCTTTTGGGATGTTCGCTCTCGCAGACCAGACCAGACCGCAGCCTCGATGGTAAAGCCCACGGAGAGTCCGAAGAAGCCGGCTCGAAGTGCGAGCGCTATGTTCACCCTTGGCCCACGTATGCGTATTCGGACTGTGAAGGTACGGGCGCATGTTCCATGGTTACCGTTACGCCGTTAGGGTTCGCGCATCATGGGATCAATGTTGCCTCGGCATTCGCCGTTATAAACCCATGACACGGCTCCTGCGCCTTCATCCAGAACGGCCATGTCACCAGACGGGCCAGAGTACTTATAACTTACGATGGCTCTCGAGCGTACCTATCTTTGTCATGCAACGAATGAATGCGCGTGCTCTCCTCAGTGGGCCGACCGGAGCGGCACTATGACTGCACGGACCGGATGCTACCACCACTCCTGCGGCAGACCCGACATCCAGGAACTACATTAATGGTCTCAATGGCCAGCTATGGAGATGCATCATTATGAAGCTACCCTGTGAAGACGTCTACGCCATCACCTGACAGCGTATATCGCGGGTTATGTTCGGCGAACCTCATGTTGGACTTCCGAGCACCATCTTCCGGTCATCTTTTCTGCAAGCATCCATATCGTCTGCAGTCATGAGTTGACCCGAAGATACTTCCTCGAATCTCTTTAAGAAGGCTTTTGCGTGCCTCGCAGGATACGTGGCACGTATATGAGGCGTTGGACCTCAAGGTTGGAGATCTCTGCCGCAAACGCACGATGGGGATTTGTCCCAGCGCCAGCGCCGTAGCTCTAGCTGCGCTTCTTATCGCCCTCGGGGGTGTGGGTGTACAAGGATTATCTAATGGAGTCGCCAAGCTGCCTGGTGGGCATGTGCATATCATCGAGTGACAACACGGGCTGACTCGCAAGACAGTTCTGGGTTACAATAGTATGTGTCGCACATGTCCACTGTCATGCGAGCGTCTGACTCTCTCCAGCCTGGAATGCCTACCAAGTATGTCAACCTACTTCCGAGATGAAACCAATCCTTACCGACGTGCCCCTAGTGCAATATAGATCAAGACCTCATCGTGGAGACAGCGCATCTGATGCAGAAGCTCGGGCTCCAGGTGCGTCTCTTCACTTCGTTTGCAAACTGCGACTCACGCCTCCACAGGATGCTGGGTACTCCTGTACGTCTCGTCTGCCAGTAAAGGTGCTGCTGATCCGAAGCTCAACGTTTCAAGATGTGAACATCGACGACTGCTGGTCGTCCAAGAACCGCTCAGAGAGTGGGGACCTGGTACCTGGTACGCCGCTCTCCTCGCGCAATCCCGTCTCTTTTACACTAGTTGGTCTTTTCAGACCCGATCCGCTTTTCCAGGGGGATGAAGAGCTTGACTAGCGAGATACACGCACTTGGATTGTGAGCACGCCCACCGAATACGTCTTCTATGCTCAACTGACGATATCGCAGTAAGGCTGGCATTGTTCGTTTACATGCTCATGGGTCTGAAGGAACGGGTCACTGACCAGGGTTCCAGTACGGGGACTCCGGCTGGAAGACTTGTGGCGGTTATCCCGGCTCGTATGATCACGAAGAGCAGGACGCGAAGCTCCTCTTTGCTGATTGGGCCTTCGACTACCTCAAGTACGACAACTGCTACATCCCGTTCGATGACGTGACGCGCCAAGGAATCATCGGAAGTGCGTTGAAGTTCTATCTCTCTCCGAGTCAATCTCTTATCTAGTGTTGCCAGAGTACGATCGCATGGTGGATGCTCTCAAAACGGTCAGGGCTGCTCACACCGGGAAGCCCGTTGTGTTCTCGCTCTGCGAGTGGGGCTGGGTACGAGTCCGTGTACTTCTACGTCTGCATCATTGCTCACCCGCGTCTCACAGAGTCAAGTTTGGCTGTGAGATCTTCTTTCGAGTTCGATACATTGTTCAGCTCATCTGACGATCAGATAGTTGGGGAGCCGAGCAAGGTCATAGTTGGCGTGTAGGTCATATTCTTCGCCCTCACTTCTGCTTCATTCTCATCTGGGTATTAGATCACGGGTGACATCGCTGCTAGTTGGCCTGCCCTGGCAGCCATTATCAATGCGTACGCATATAATCATGCTGGCACATGCCTATGCTGAGAGTTGCTACCAGAAACTCCTTCATCACGCAAGCCACCAACTTCTATGGGCATAATGATATGGATATGGTCCGTACAGTAGCACTCCACATTAATTACGCGAACTGACCGCACACTAGTTGCAACTGTAAGATGCCACGCTCTCTCTTTGAGCCAAGTTGCATGTCTGAATGGTATCACGCAGCGGTAATGGTGGCCTTACCTACGACGAGGCGAAGAGCCACTTCACCGCGTGGGCTCTGCTCAAGTCGCCACTGCTTATCGGTACCAACGTGCGTTCGACGCCATTGCAAACCTGATCGTATGTATGCTCAAACATATTGCAGCTCTCTGCAATCACAGACGACGTCCTGGACATCCTCACGAACCGTGAGATCCTGGCCATCAATCAGGATCCCGTCATCGGTACCAGCCTCTCGCCGTTTAGTTGGGGGATCAACGTGAGTTGCGGCTATTGAACCCCGTAGATATATTCATGCTCTTGCAGCCCGATTGGACATATAATGAGACGTTTCCCGCTCAGTATTGGTCAGGTCCGAGCGAGAATGGCACTGTATTCATGCTCGTACGAGACCTTCACACACACACCTCGTTTAATTTCCGACACTAAGACGAACCACAGCTGAATACGCTGGATGAGCCCGCAGACATGTTCTTCAACTTGACGCAAAGCCCGTGGATGCGTGCGGGACGGCAGTATTCCGTCCGAGTACGTGTTCAGCCTTGTTCGTTATTGACGAGTTTGCTCATTGCCGTTGTCACACAGGACCTGTGGTCGCACACGGATAATGGTACTGCTGTTCGTAACTTCACAGCTGAAGCCGTGCCTGCGCACGGTATTGTCGCGTTGCTGCTGAAGGACGCCGGAGATGAACCCGACGGAATTTACCCGGACTGTGCTGTCTGGTATCAGTGTAGTACAGAGAACGGGACCTATGTTGGTGGTTAGACTAATCTCTCAGGCGGCTGACAGACTCGATAGCCTAATTAGCTAAGCGCGATATCCTGTTGAGTGTGATAATTACAGTCGGCGGTTTTTGTAGTTTTTGCCAACTTTTCAGTCTCTTTCGGCAATCTCCGTCCGGCCGCCTTGTCGAGCGCGCTCGCACGCGCGTTGCACGGTTCGACTTCTGCGACCATGACCCCAATAAACGAGAATGCTCTGAGAGCTATCTTCCACCGCAAACTAACATGCGTAATGCCATACCCTACCCCACACGATTCTCTCCGGTCTTTGGCCCAGACTCATGCGTCGACAAGACGATTTGGCGCGCCTATGCTTGGGAATGTTCGAAGCCGAACTGTGGACACGACTGCACCGCGCAGCATCGATAAGCTGCGGGAATGAATACGGCTTCTATTTCCCTACAACGCATGTTGATGGTACATGCCAGCTGGTCCGTGTTGACGAAGGGTTTGTAGCATTGTAGCAGTCCATGTACTACATCAAGTCGTGCCGGCCATCCGACTTATGGGCGCCTGTAGTCGAGCGAGCGTAATGATTTCCTTTCCAAGCTGACCTTGAAACCCGAAGCAGCCTTCCTTCACTGCGGGCACCGTCCTCGCACTAACACTGAGAGGGCGCGACCCACTTGTTGCCTTCTTTCTCGGCGACACTCAACTTCGCGATCTACGCCGTGTCAAGGACCGACTCACGATGCACCCGCCGGTGCGCCTATAACTAGATGCATCTCAAGTGCTCCTACTGATACTCATAACCCTCTTTCCTTCTTCCCCGACACATTCTCTATCTTGCGATGGTCGTACCATACTGGACATACGACAACGAAAACGGTGGACATTACGATCTCACCTCGGATGCGCAAACAACAACTCAGGTAGAAGATCCCGACGTCCTTGGCGGGCACAGCGACCGTGCGCGTAACAATCGAGACGCATTGAATCTCATCAACAAGCTACGGGGAACTGGGTGAGCCTTTCTCGTGCTGCCATTATACTTGCTAATCGCCCTTCTTCTTCCAGAGTGGGTTTAGATGTCGACCTGCCAATCATCACTGCCATAGGTCAACAATCCTCTGGAAAATCGTCTCTAATGGAGCAGGTGTCGGGCATACGTTTCCCCCGTAACTCTGGAACATGCACGAGGTAGTTCTCGCCTTCTTTATTGTTGAATCTACGGTCTCAAAGTACTTTGCCAGAGTGCCCATTGAATGCCACTTGAGTCGTTCGGACGATCCCTGGGTATGCCGAGTCAAGATTCGCATCGTCACGTCAACAGGCATCGACGACAAGTACTTCGGCTCGCCTATTGCTTCTCCTCAGAGCCTCGTCGATCGCATCGCGCGCGCGCAAGCTGCGATCCTCAATCCTTCTCAAGACTCGCTGTCATATCTGAGCTGCGCGGTCGGTGATCTGGAACAGTTGGAGATCAACTTCTCCTCGAATGTGATCTGCCTAGAGATAGCGGGCCAGGATATACCGGATTTGACTCTTGTGGACCTTCCAGGTATCTTCAATCGTCTTGGCGTTGAAAACGTCTACTGACACATCCCAGGCCTCATTCAGAGTGCGAGTGCGAATGGCGACGCGGCAGATATCGCGCTCGTGCGTGACTTGGTGGTTCAATACATCTCCAAACCTTCTACAATTATCCTCGTGACCGTTGTCTGCGAGAGTAAGTTGACAACCACGCCGATGTCACTTGCAGTCTTGTTGACCGCTCCCTTCAGCTGACTTCAATAATCAACCCGGTTATCAGCTCGCGCGCCAGTGCGACCCTAAGGGAGATCGCACCTTCGGTATGTTCAGACCGGTCGTCTTGAGGCATGCTAGGCGCTCACATCACGTACACAGGTGTTCTTACTAAACCTGATCGCATTCAAACGGGCACCGAAGCGGCATGGATATCACTCTTGAAGAACGAGAGTGCAGGTGCGCCTTTGACGAACGGCTGGTACACCGTCAAGATGCCCGAGCTGTCACCACTGCACCCAGCTCCAACTCGGGCGGAAGCGGCGACACAGGAGGACAAATGGTTCGAGAAAGAGACCCATGAGCGTTCATCCCCGTGGTCCAGCCTATCCCATGCCACTAAGCGGAGGCTGGGTACAAAGTATCTCGTGCCCGCGCTGGAGGTCGCTCTGAGCGATCTTGTTCGGCAGCGGTGAGCCCGGTTGATTTTGTCTGTTGTACAATGTCTGATAGCCGGGCTGCAGTGTCCCTGCACTCGGTGTTGAGCTTCGGGATAAAGCGCAGGATGTCGAAAAACAGCTACGCGACCTGCCCGCGCTTTCATCGGCGGACAATGCGATCGGCGAGATCTTCCGGTTGATCAATGGTTTCACGCACTGCAGTGACGCGGAGGTCCATGGCCGCCCTCTTGCCTCGCCCGAGCAGGACGGCCAGACACTTCTGCACGGGGTACACGATGCCGCTGAACAGTTTCAGATGTCTCTGCTTGCGACATACCCCGACTTCCGCCCGTGGAGGCAGGGTGCTGAAGGCAAAGGCGACCTTCCCCTCGCGCTTCCACGCTTTGTGCTCGGGAATAACGCGGTATCTCCGTTGAAGCGCACTGGTGAACCCATACTCGTTGAGCATGTTGAGGAGACCATTGCGCGGTGTGTGTCTTCAACATTTGATGCTGGTCTTTCGTGCTAATCTTTCATGAAGCGGGCGAAAAGCGGGTCGTGGTGTGCCGGACTATATACCGTCCGATGCACCAGCAGGCTATGCCAAAGCGGCTATCTGTGACTGGGCTCTTCCCGCCCGTGTACTCGTGGACGGAACGTACCAGCACCTGAATAAGTACCTGCTCGCCTTGGTTAAGCGACATTTCGGTCAGTATGAGCACGGCGGCCTATGCAGTGAAGTCAGGTTTGTATCACGTCATCCGCTATTCCCGTCGCGTATTTCTCAATGCAGTTCAACAGGCGCATCGTCAATCTGCATCTCTCCGAATGCCGCGACGAAGCAGAAAAGCGTATTGAATGGCTCCAGAAAATTGATGGGGAGGCATATACGAGTAACGCGAACGTGCATCGCGAGCTCAAGGATCAGTTCAAGTTGCACTTCAAGGCGGCTTCTCAGAGCTCTGGCTTGGATTTCCTGCAGCGCAGGTTAGACATGCGACCTTATAACCCGACCGGCCGAGATGAAGTCCCCAGTATGATCTGACTCGCTCTTTCGTCTATAATCAGCGCTGACCCAATGGATAGCGCAATTTAAAAACGATATGGAGGCCGCGATCAAGAACCTCAACAAGATCGGTGTGCGCATTGGCGATGCGCACCAACTTTCCACCCTCAACCCGAGCCCCGACGACCCGCTCCTCGACGTGATGGCGAGCGCCAGCGCGCTTTTCGAGAGTACGTCATCTTGGTTCCTACGAGCTTGATGATAAAGTTACTAACCCTCACCTTCTCCTTCAGTTGCTCGCCGCCGGTTCTCGGACTATGCACCACAAGCTGTATACCTTGAACAGGTGCGCGGTTTCCAGGACGGACTCGATAAGCTCTTGAGGGAGGAACTTGGCCTCACGGGCACGGAGATACAGTCAAAGTGTCGCGCGTACCTCGAGGAATCGTCCGATGTTAAGGCTCATCGACAGGAGCTCACGCTCCAGCATGAGCGTTTGACCGCCGCTCGTACGGAGTTGAATGCATACTTCTCGATGTCTTGATCGCCATACTGCCAGTTCGCACTTCTTCTCCCCTATCTTGTATTGTACCTTGTATCCCCATGCTCTGTATCATCGCCCGCTTGTATACTTCTATAACTATGTATCTACCTTCCATACAGCCGACAGAACAATGGACGCTATCGCGTTATTCTTGCCATCATTTGAGGAAGCCTGCTGCGCACGACCCACGTGCTGTGCAGTTGTGCGGGAAACGGAAGCCGGCTTGCAGGTTGCCTTGTCCTCTCACCGTCGACCGCCTCGTCCACCTTTCTACCACATTTGCTCACGAGCTTCAGGCTACCGTCATCGGCGAACTGTCCGAATTTTTCTGGCTACAATAGTCTGATTCACTCCTGCGCCAAACATGCTTTCCGTCCTCCCAACCGTGCTTGTTACCGCGGCGGCTCTACCCCTTGCGGCGGCGCAGTCTAGCAGCTCTTCAGTGACCTCGTCGGCGAGTTCGGCCTCGGCTTCAGCCTCCAGCGCAACCTCTTCGGCGTCAAATACTTCATCCTCGGTTGCGTCGTCGACGTCCCCGACTTCAACCAACTTCGCCAGTATCACTGTCACCGAGAGCGGGACCACCTTTATATCCTCCATACCCATCACGGTATCGCCCACCACTTCGTCTACCGCGACGAGCTCGGCATCCTCTGCATTTCCTTCATTGGGCAATGTTGATCCGTGCAGTACGTCAAACTGCATACCCATATATTTCACCCATCTGAATCACAAATTATAGTCACAAACTGCTTGACCACTGCCATCGGCTTGACTGGCTGCTCGTCTTTGACGGACGTGGCCTGTTTCTGCGCGAGCGATGTCTTTACGCCGGCATTATACGATTGCTTGTTGGCCGACATGTCGCAATGCACGACCGCCGCTTCGTCCCCGGCATCAACAGCCGCGAGCTCGACAGCCAGCGGATCCGTTAACGGGTCATCGTCCGCAACATCCTCCGCGGCAACCCCGACGTCGACCCTGCCGGCACCACTTGCGTCTGCTGAGGCGCTTGCGCAGTCGTTCTGCAACCTCGCTTCGACTTCGCTCGTTTTCCCCACGGCCTCAACGCGGATACCCACATCCTCGGTCGGGTCTTCGGCGGCATCGACCACTGCACCAAGCAGCTCGGGCACTGCCTCGTCGGCGGCTTCCAGCACGACATCCTCCAGTGCGGCTTCTGGCCTCCGTGTCACGAGCACAGCCAGCTGGACTGCTGCGGCCGTCGCTGGCCTGGGCGCCCTTCTTGGCGCCGTCTTGGTTGTGTAAGGGGTTGGGATGGAGTTCACGATGTGGGAGGAGGCTAGATGGAGGAGATCCGGTGTTTTCGCGACCCGACATTGGACGGCGATCTCTCAAATACCTCATTGTGATTGGTACAAGCTCTCACCAGACGAACACCTGCATTCACTACATTATATTCACGGACTTTACGGAGAGCTGACGTCATTGGTTTCTCACGTAGTACATAGTTTGACGACGGACTTGCAATACGATCATTTCAACTCGTTCTTCTTGGTCAAGAAAGTACATATACATATTGCGTTCTGGGTAAGCGACGAGTCATTGCCGACGTCTACTGCTGGCCTCCAACCCCTAGATCCGACGGCTCCAGGAGTCTATTAGCGACGAGCGCCTTCGCGAGCCTTTCCAAGTTCTCTCCTCGATGCCGATACGTCTCGCTCGATATGGTCTTCGTGGTGGACTTCAAGATATACGGCTCCTCCTGACGTTGAGTGCCCTCCGCTAGGAAACTCCGCCATGTTGCCAAAGCCGCCTTCACATCCCGTCGCGCGCGCGTCTCTCCCAGATATGAACCTTGCCAGAGATCTTCATCGTCGCTCCCCAGGTCTGCAGAGTCGATATCGCGTGTTCCGACAGCGATACGATTGGCAATATCCTCAAGGATGTCGGCACACAGCGGGACAAAGGCGTCTGTACGCAAAGCATGGCGCATCAACGAACGGCTGAAATCTTGATGGAGGTCGATCCGCCACGGCACGTCGAAAGACGGCTGCACGCCGTTTAGCTTGGAGACGACGAAGGACACGAACTCCTCCGCGTTCTCCGACGTGATCAGGCGGACCGCTATGTCGAAACGCGACTTGCGCGAACTGGTTAATGCCTCCTCGGCGACAGTGATGGGCGATTTCAAACTCGATGTCGAGTCGGACGTGCTCTCCGCCTGGACGACCGGTTTCGGTAGGAAAACGGACGCGGACAGAGGTACTTGGGGCGCTTTGGGTGGCTGAACGGGGATCGGGGCGGTGGGGGTCCTTACACGAGACGGCTCAGCTATAGACTGCCATAAGCCTCTCTTGGGCTGGACCGGTACACCTGTCTTGGGCACACTGCTACCCAAGGGAGTGGGCGTGCTAAGCCGGCGTCGGTCTTTCAGTAGGCGTCCTGCTCGAGAAAGAAGACCGCTCACGCTGTTCGCACGTCATCGAAGGACGACGAGCCTGCGGCTTTGGCCGTCGAGTTGACAGCAGAAGACGTGCTGACCGTCTTCCCCGGCGGGGGTGGACTGCGCTCCACCTTCGCCGGCGGGAACTCGAAGCTCTTCCCAGTCAGCCACGCATCAACGCGATCCGTCACGAAGGCTTCCTCGCGTGGGAGACGGCCTTCCTTGATCTCTTCGCGAACGGTGAACACAAGGACGACATCGTCTGGGTGAGCTTTGAGCCTCGCAGCGTCGGCGCGGCTCAGCTTCGCGGAGCGTGTGCACAGTTCGACGAACGCCGGGCGCAACCATTGGTCGACATCGTGCGCGCGCGCCAACACGAGCTTTTCGATCACGGACGCCAGAGGTTCTAGTTTCCGGATGGCCAGCTCACGCGCGGTCGGGAAGGACCACATCGTGGAAAGGCGCAGGGCGGCTGTCCATTCTGCGAGCGACTGGAGTGCCCACCGGGCGCATGATCTAGAGATGGGCGGCCGTCAGAATGCAGGAGTCTGTGGTGCGGATGATCAAGATGTGCCCACTCGGGATAGAGTATGGCCAAAAGAACGTCAAGTTCTTCACAAGACACATCCGCGAGCGTCTTCGTGCCAGGGGTGCGATCGAGGGTGGCCAGCCAGGAGGGCGCATGTCGTCTGATCATCGAGCGGTGAACGTTGTAGTGCGTGTCTTCCGCCTACGGGCGATAAGCCCCATGTACCACACGAGGCGATGAGGCGCTCACCAGCAGCTCTATAGACCCGTCCTCGAAGTAGTACACGGGATGACACTTCTTGGGCGGAGGCTCGGGTACATCTTTGCGGCGGACATCGTCGCAGAACGCGGTACTCAGCGTGGACAGGGCGTCATCGAACCCAAGGACGAGAGTAGGAGACTTCGTATTGGGCGCCTGCGCCTCTGGGAAGTCGCCGAGACTGAACTCGGAGATGCTAGAGGACGAGCTACCACACTCCTCGTCCGAGGCGTATGAGAGATCGGGTGTGAGTGCTTGGACGAGCATTGGGGGTTTGCTTCAAGGAGCTGGGGCGAGGTACGATGCCTTATACGTCGCCTGGTGGCGATAGACGCCCGAGGTGGGCGGACCTTCCCTCGGCTTCTCCCTACAGCAGGTGATCCTAGTAGCGCCACTTCGCTTGAACACGCGTGTGCACGCAGACTCTGTGTCTGGGCCCTAGAGCTTATTCCTCATGAGGGCATTGCACTACCGAGAGAAGTCGCCGTGATACTCAATGACTTCACAACTTGCTTCTGAAGCGTCATAGGCATTCTTGCAACGCAATCCGAGTGCATACAACACTCCGTATTGCCACTACGCGTGGTCGCCACTTATGACTACTAGATGGCTCAGGGCTTTCCACATGTACGACCCTGTTCACTTGTAACTTGTATACATTCTACGACGTGATATTATGAGAAACATTGACGAGAAAGCACACCCATGACCGTGCATGGAAGTACCACAGGTTTACTACGCGAGTGACAGGAATTGTATTGAAGTTGGTTAGACGCGTGTGATGCCCAAGTCACATAGCTCATTCATGAGATCCTTCACATTCGACGTCCTCTGCAGGTAGAGCCTTTGCGTGAGCTCATCCCTAGTTCCGATGATTGTGCGGAAAGAAGATGCCATCTCCGTGGCATGCCGCAGTGCCTGCTTGAACCGCGGATAGGCCAGTACGCTGTACATGTTCTCGACCCTGGCCCAGCCGATCTGCAGATCTCGAAAGTCTTGATTGAGGATTGTCGACAGCGGATGGACAAGGCCGCCACCGATAGGCGAGCAATGTTCCACAATGTGACGCCGAATGCGCTGTATGAGTACGATTGCGGCAGGAGTGTACGCGGGGTTGAGTGCCACTTGACGAATGAGAGCTCGAAGGAAATGTCGCAGTGTGGTGTCGGAGCACAGGATGTCGGGTATAGACTTCGCAAAGAGCGCGCTGTTGTCAACGAATGATCTGAATAGGAGAGGGGATTTGGAAGGAAGGGAAAGGGGCAGGATGATGCTGAGGGCCTTCTCATGGCTCTCATGCGTCCCCTCTTTGAGCAAGGATGAGATATCTGCCCATGCGGCCTCGGATAGGTCGGGAAGGCCTTCAGGATCTATAGACTCTGACGATGGTATGGCTGGAGGATGAGGCTTGCTCTCGTGATCCCGCACGGGTATCTACAGACACAGAGGTTAGGACCTCTCGTAGTGCGCGGTACTTCGATAGCACCGACCTGTTCAACTTGAACACCCCCTTCATCATGTCTACGGTCCAAACACTCTCGAGTGTCCTGGCATTCCTCACGACGAGTCACGATTGCCTCACGTTGTGAGACGGCGAGCTCACGCTCTCGTACGCTGACCTCGCGCTCTCTGACGGATTGTTCGCGCTCGGCGAGGGCACGCTCACGATCATGCGTAGTCTGGTCAGAGCTATTTGCGATGCCTTTGAGAGTCTCTTCCAGCGCGGCCGATCGCTCAGAGGCGGCGGTTCCAAGACCGATGGCGTTCAAGTTCGCGTCGAAGTCCGTATCAACCGATTGAAGAGAAGGCGAAAGAGATCCGGACATCTCGAGTGTGAAGATGGACTGGTCGTGATCGTGGTACGAGCTGAAGTGCCGCAATGGGGTGTAGTCTGACAAGAAGCCTGTCAACACGTGTTGTAGAAGAAGCTCTTGTTGGACCACGGGGCTGCGTCAAACGTCCGGAGCGATGGAACGAGCGTATCACGTCCCGAAGAACTCAACGAGATGATGAGTACGAAACCATTCACAACGAGCAGATATATTGCTGGGGAGTCATTGCGCGGGCAGTGCCAGAGAATCCGCACTCTCTATGATGATGGTAGGAAGCAAGCTGTTCACTGACGCCCTTGGACTGCTTCTCGAAGGTCTTCCCGGCGGGATCGCGAGTCAGATTGTCGATACGTCTCGTACAGCCTCTGGAGTTATCGGAGTTATCGGAGAGGTTGGCAGATGCTGTTGTGGTACTAGTAGATCCATAGTACGGCAACACTCATATGGTGGGTGATAGATCCAGACAGCCGCCACAACCCCATCGCGCAGAGATTCATCCACGAGTGACGGCTATTTGTACAGCTACGTTTGCTCCCGTTATAACGGCTCAATGGTCTAGTCGCATGATTCCTGCTTTGGGTTCTACAAAGAAAACAAGCCTGCAGGAGGTCCCGGGTTCAATTCCCGGTTGAGCCCCTTTTTTGCTCATATCCGACACCCAGGAATCGATTCCCAACCTGTCACATCGTCGGGATATGTTTTTCTACGAGTTTTACTGATTTTACTAGCTTTCTTGTATGATTGATGGCCGTACGTAGGCTTACGACCGAATCTAGGCCTCGGCAAGGACGGCGACGCGACAAGCCTACAGGCTCTACTCCATAGTGGTCTGATAATGTTAATCTCATGGATGCTGAAGTACGAATCGATCCTGTATACCCAGCCGACACGGCTTTTCTACAGTCATAGACCTACACTACCGTGACATGAAAGAAGCGTCCATCCGGTACTCTGGGGGCAGAGCTCGATGCCCGATTTAGCCAGTGGTAGGAACGCAGTGCATCGGTTGTATACCCCGGGATCCATTCCCGGATAGATACATATCTCGAGTGACTGGGATAGATTTCTGGTTCAGCCATGGTGGTAGGCGGTAGAGAAACGATGCACCGGGATCAATTCCTGGTTCGACCACAGTCAGCGTGGGAGGATTCGTGTCCTGGGTTCAATTCCCATATGAGCCATTTTACTTAGCACTGATATCGACTTGCACACTGCTTGCACAAGACGTTTCACCACCGCTTCGGGCATTTTATTTCGTATTTGCCTAAGAGTACATCCCAATCCCAAAACCGTCCAAGAGTCCAAGCACCCAATTATATCAGTCCGTCAAGCCCATCTACTCAAATCAACCTTCCAACATCACCCTTAACCGGTAACCCCCTTCTCCTCCCTCCACACAAGCGCATCGACATCCTCCGGCAACACGATCCCCTTCTTCGGCGCGCGATACCTCCATCGCCCGATCACGGCCGCGAAGAGCAGGAGCAGCGTGGCGAGCAGCGCCGCGCCGATGAACATCAGCGCTTGTGCGTGCGCCGTCGCGGTGAGGGCGGTGGGGAAGGAAGATGCGGGGAAGCTGGCCATGCTCGACGTGCCGCATGCGGACATCCATTCTTTGGGACTTGAGATCGTCGCATCCTAACACCCCCATCAATAACAACTCGAGATGCAGAGATCTGGTTGAACTTACCCTCGTGCGGAAGACGAACTCAGTGAGCGGTATATCGCCATCGTGCCCGAACACATGCACAGGCTCGAACGTCCCGTCCGAGCCGTTGCGGAACATGAAGCGCAGGAAGTCGCGCGAGTCGGGCAGAGGCGCGCGGCGGAGCTCGATGGCGAGCGCGCTCGCGAAGTCCGCTGCACATAGAGCAGTCAATACGATATGCGAAAAGGAAAGAGGGGGAAGCAACGCACGGATCCCATAAACGCTCTCGACCCCCGTCACGTTAAACAACGACACAAACGGCTGATACGTCCCCGCCAGCACAACGAACTGCGCGCGATCCCCATCGAACGCGACCCGATCCAGCGCCTCCACCACAGCGCCCAGCGCCGAGCGCCCCGCGACGTTCCCGATCCCGCCCATCCCGGCGTCGCCGAAGACGAGCTCCTCGTGCACGTTGGCCCAGTGCCGGGACTGCTCGAGGTAGGTGGGCGGGAGGCGGTAGGCGAAGGTTTTGTTGTGCGCGTTTTGTTCGGAGATGTAGTCGTGGACGTTTACCTGAGGAAGTTGAAGTGAGTGAATGCGCTTGAGGATAGAGGTGGGTGAGGACGTACGGCGTGGATGAGGTCTGCTGGACGACCGAAGAGAAAGTCGGATACGGATGCGAAGAAGCGGCTGCTCTCCTTCTCAGCAGCTTCGAACGCGGCCGACTTGTACACATTCTTAACGTGCTCCTGGAATTTCTAGCACACAAATCAGTACAACTTGACAAACAGACACACTGAGAAGCTCGACATACCGGACAATGCGTCCACCCCTCCAACGCCCTATCCACCCTCGGCTCCACAGTCTCAAGATGAACATACTGATACCCCCCAAGCGGCGCAACGACAAACTTCCCGTCGCTCAGCTCGATGCTGTTCTTCTCGTTCGGCGGGAACAGCCCCTGCAGCGTCGCGGTGGCGGAATCGAACACGGCGCCCGCTTCGCCGCCGGCGGTGTAGCGCGCTTGGATCTCGTCCGGGTCGACGAGGTCGGTGTGCACGTTGAGGATGTAGGAGGGGGAGGAGGGGGTGAAGTATTTTGTGCGGAGGGCGCGGCCGAGGGCGTGCGATTGGACCTGCGGTGGGAATGTCTGTAAGTAAGGGAACTGAGGGAGTGTAGGGAGATGGGACGTACCTCGCCGAGCGGGGTGGCTTCGGTCCATGAGGGCTCGTAAGTGTAGGGATCTTGAGAGTAGGAGAAGCGATCGCCGTTGCGCGTGAGGACGACGACTCCGTGGACGTTCGAGTGGGCCATGATCTGGAAGAAGGCGAGGCAGTAGCGGCTGAAGACTGTAGTAGAGCTCGAGCGCTGCTGGTGTTAGTACAAGCACATGCCAGAGGCCTTTATAGCCTCGTTCGTCGAAGAGCTCGCAACGCGTTTGCAAGTCGGATTCTGATCGACTGAAGCTTGTGAGACGTTCGACCGTCGACGGTGAACGGGCTGCTCGACGGTGAGGGTTGGTGAATGGCACCAGGGCGGTGGCTGGCGACATGCGGCCAGCCATAATGAACGGCGAACTCTTGCACTCCGTTGCAAAGTGGAAAACACCGTCCGTCGCACGAGTAGATGAACCAGATAGCGCGGGGAGTATTAAACCTAGAAATCAGTGATAATTGAACCTAGAGGTCAAGGATGAAGAGTAGCAGGACCGGATATGAGCCTTGAGAGCCTGTCATAGACTGTAACGCGTGTAACAAGCGTTCTGCGGTACTGAGTACGCTCGACGACGTGCCAAGCACGGTACGGATTGCACATGATGCGGCACGCCTTGAACGCAAGGCAGTGCCGCGTAATAGAGCAGCACCATAACGAGGCGCCATGAAAACAGCAGGCCCGCAACGGCACCGAAATGAGCACCCGCACCATCTGGACATGCGTCAGACGGCTGTGAGCACTGAGCACCAGAGTCCTTCTCCGCACAAAGTACACCTCCGGCTTCGTTTCGCCATGATTGCATGTATCACGCCTCGACGGCGCGCATGCGCATGTTCCTCCACCATTTCCGAAACGTACAACACGAGCCTGCGGTTCTCGAAACACGAATTTCCTCTCCTTCTCTCCCAAATTCAAACACTGTCCACCATCTTGGACGTCCATTCTCTACTTCTTCTTCCCCTTCTTCTTCCCACCGCCCCCGCTCGCACCGCCAGCAGACGGCACGCCCTCGGCCGCAGGCGTGAACCCCTGCGTGGCGCCACCGCCGGCGCGCTTCTTTCCCCGGGGCGGGACGTACGTGCTCCGCTCTGTCTTCTTGAGCCATCTCTCCGGGTCCGGCGCGGGGCCCACGCCCGGCGTGACACCCTTCGGCACGCGTTTCTTGCGCACGGCACGTTTGGGCGGCGCGGCGGCGGTTGGCGCGGTGACGGGCGTGAATGTGGAGGTAGATGCGGAGGGCAGTGTGGGCGGAGGCGCGGATTCGAGGGCGGATGTGATGGATGGGGGCAGGGCGTCGAGAGCGCCGGCGAAGGAGGAGGTTACAAAGTCCAGATGGGCGTGCGCGGCGCGGGCGTTGGTCGTTATGTCGGCGTGCTCGTCTGTGCCCGGTTCCGCGCTGTCCAGTAGCGAATTGTAGAGATCGTACGCGGCGCCGTATTGGCCTTGTCTGTAGCTCTGTACATACACATTTCAATATACATTTATGGTGAATATCGTGAGGAGGACGTACGAGCTGAGCCTCGAGATGCTGCACGCCGCGGTCGTCGGGTTTGGCGGCCATGAGCTCGTCGAGCGCCGTGTCGGCATCCTCCTCGCGCTGGAGACGGTAGAGGCAGTAGGCGCGCTCGTACGCGACGTCCTGGCCCTCGGGCGCGTGATCGAGCAGATCGAGCGCCTGTGCGTACTTGTCCGTCTGCAGCAGCAGGAACAGCTGAGTCTGCCGCGCATCCGCGTCGTTCGGGTCAAGCGCGAGCACTATTTCCGTATTCAGTATATCATTATATCTTAGATAGACGATGAGAGAGATTCACGTTTATCGGTCGTCCTGAGCGCGTTCGGGAAATGGGCCCCGTCGAGCTGCTTCACGAGCGTCGCGTACAGCTTCTTGATCTTTTCACTATCGCTCAGCAATTTCTTCGGAGGCCCAGTACGCTTGCGATTTTTCGGCTGCGCGGGCTTGGACGCGGGTGTGGGCGCCGTGCGCGGTTTCTTGGGAGCCATGGCAGTAAAGTCCAAGTTTATTCAACGGCGCGCGTCACAAGCGGACACGAGTTGTCAACCCTCCGCCACTATGTCCGTAGAGTACGTCCTCTTTCCTATTATATGACTACTTTCTCTGACATATTCATACAGAGAAGCCGCAACAACAAAATCGCCCGAGCCGACCGACGCGCCCATGGACGCCGCCCCCGCCGACGCCGCCCCCTCCGGCCCGGGCGAGCGCCGCCGCCCGCGCCTGAACCTCGCGGCGGCGCTCGGCGGCGGCGAGCGCAAGCGCGGCAAGTCCATGTTCGGCCTCGTCCTCGGCACGCTCAACAAGGCGAAGGACGAGGACAAGGCGCGCTCGGCGTCCGACGCGGCGAGGAAGCGGCAGGAGATCGACGCAAGGCTGCAGAAGAAGCTGAGGAGGGAGACGGAGAGCGTGCGGAGGGCGGAGGAGGCGAAGAAGGAGCGTGTCGGGGCGAGTAGGAAGGAGGAGGAGTTGCAGTTGAAGGATTCCATCGTATGTTCGTTTCATCTCCTTTCCTGACATATACTCATGTGTTATACAGGCCAAGCTCAAACGCGCCCGAAGACCGCTCCTGGCCAATTTCCTGTCCACCGCAGACGACATACCAGGCGCAGGCCGCGCACCAGCCGTATTCCCGCCCCGAGCAGCGCCCGCACCCATATTCTACCTCCCCGCTGTCCTCCTCCCCTCCCAACAAGAATTCCTGGATAAAAGGAAAGAAGAGGAGGCGACCGCGGCAGAGGTCGAGTGGAGCGCGTGGAAAGAGGAGAGGGCGCAGGGTGTGCAGGAGATTGCGACGTTGCGGGCCAAGGTGGCGGAGTACGAGGAGAGCGTCAAGAGTGCGAAGAAGGCCGCTGAAGACGAGGCTATGGCCGAGGGCGACGAGAAGAAGGCGCCGCAGGACGAGGACGCGCAGATGGACGTCGACGACGGCGCAAAAGAGCCGGCGAAGGAGGAGACAAAGGCGGACGAGTCGCCTGCGCCTCCACCAGCTCCGGTCTCAGTACCAGCACCTGTCGTCCCGACGCAGCCGGACGAGGTCGATGCGGTCGAATACTGAGGAAGGGTAAGCTGGTCATCTTCTCCTGGGCGGTATAATGCTGACTTGCTTCAGGTTTGCTGTCTGGGCAGTGTTTGTCGTACGAGTGTACTGCTTGCTTGCCAGTTTGTAAGCCTATTCTCGTGCCGATATTGTGCAAGACTGACGACTATCTGCAGGTCTTGTTGTGAAGGTATGGTGCTTTAGTAGCGTAGCTTTGAATTATCCAGCTTGTTCTCGCTGGCGCCGCACCTTCCCTCCCTTTGTACGTCGTTCTCGTGGAGTCCTTCGCTACCCTCTAATTAACCGCGCTTCCTTCCAGTTCAAACATGTTTCTTTGAATATGCCCAGCTGGCATTGCCTGGGCCCCTCACTGTACGCATCCACGTCTCTCACCCATTCCACGTCCTCATCACTTTACCGCTCAGTGCTATGAACAAGGTATAGTCCTGTACGTCCCTCTTCCCATCACACCCATCCATTTTTTGCAATCCCTTTGACTGGATATCTTGCTACGCCGCACGATCTGAATGTATCTACTCGTTGCTATCACAATTCATGCTTGCATGCACACTCTACGCGCCTGCCAAACCTATCGCCACATCTGCCCGCTCATACGTGTCATATTGCAAAGCAAAATCATCCACCGATTCGCAGTGGCCCTCGGTCAACCGCGTCTCTGTCTGCCGAACGCAGACTTCTCACGAGCTGTCTGGCAGGACCTCCCTCCATGGGTGACCTGTGAGTTCATATCCCTTCGCCGAACCTCTCTCTATGCCGAGTCGAACCTCGATTGATCGTCGAGCCCATTATAGGACGCAGAGAATGGATTCCCGCTCCGAGCATACGCCCTCGTCGGACATCAGGCTGGACGTGAAGTGAAGTTCGATATCATCGCCGCATCGGAGCGCGCGCAGTAACGATGCCTCGCTCGTCGGCGCGGCGCCGCTCGCTACGTCGATATCGCTCTTGGATCTTCGCCGCCGTGATCGGACGATGGCCGAATAGGGAGGGGATCGCGTCTGAGGACGGAGTTGTGCGCTGCCCGCGGCGCATCGTGCTTTCTCATGCGCGGCGCACTTCCCTGGCGCATCATACTTGAGCTCGCAGCTCAATTCCATCGCCGCATCGGAGCGCGCGCCCTCGGTCTGCCCGACGCGGCGCCGCCGCGAGCGTTGCCCGCGACTCGATGGAACGCTGATCTTCGTTGCCGTGATCGGAGGCATTGCTTGTTACAGCTCTCCGGAAGACGATACTGTGGTCTGAGGGCGGAGTGGATACAAACGGAAGGTAAACCGGCTGGCGGGATAACGCGCATTTCTGGGTTAGGGTTGGCCCAGACGCGCGCACCTCGAGTGCGCATATCGAGCAATATTGGTCCTGCATCAATTCGCCGCCCATCAACTTCAAGTGTTCTCGGTCTGGCGCGCCCTATATTTACATCCTCAGCCATATCCTACATACGACGCCGAGTCGGACTTCGATCGACGCCCAAACGATGTATTTGTAGCGCGCGTGAGAGGACAATATCTGTGCGCGGCGCGGCGAGATACGATCACGCCCGCCCTTCCCGGCGCATCAGTGTCATACTCGTACTCGGATTTCGATACCTTCTCCCTCCCCCGCGTCGGATCAAAATGAGCACTGGTTTAATTAACGTGGCACTGTGTGTAAGAACTCTGTCCATGTTCGCTACTCCGGTCGGCCGATGCCGGTGCAGTCTGGGCCAGCTACTTGCGCTAGAAGCGAGATAGGCATTGAGTTGAAGAAGGCCACGAGCTCATCTGTAGGACTAGTCCCAATTTGACAGAGTCTCTGTCTATAAGAAGGCGAGGTACGTACTCCGTCGAGTTATCGGTGATGACTGTTGACCAATCGCCTTAGGGCTAGGGCTAACGCAAATGTCACGGGTTGCAGACTCCTGAGGCAATACAGGCCAATAATTCATTCACATCTCTGTGTGAGAATAATCTGTGATTCACAGTGCTCGTATCGCATATCAATTCGCGACTATCATCGCCTCTTCCGAGGTGACGGGCCCGAGTCGGACGTCGATTGCAGTCAGCTCATTCGATTCCCTTGTAGGAGGCGTACCTGAATGCTCGCGTGCGGCGCGTTCAGCTTTGGCTATGCTTATGGGCGCTCTTTGTAGTGCTTCATGCTCGGCATTGAAGCTAGTATGTCCCCATGGCGGAGCGCGTGCGAGTTGCGGTCAGCGCCGCGTCGCGCTTTGGCCACGACTTGAGCCCCTGCCCGTCATCCCAGTCGCCGTAATCGTACGGCACTGATACAGCCACGCTTGCACCTCCTGAGGAGGTCTTGACTCCCGACGCACATGCGTATGCATACTGCAAGGGAACAGAGAGACGATTCTGCCTTAGGGACATTAGGGTTAGGGTTATCGCCGACGCGCGTCAGTGACGGCGTGAGCAACTCAGCCACTCAACGCGAACCACGACGACGCGGGTTCAGATCAGCACCTTAGAGCAAGATTCAGTGTGAGTCCGAATATGCTGACTGGCTAGGCGCACTCTAAGCTCACCTACAGAACATAGCGACATCTGCGCATGTGTGTCCATTCGAGTCAGCTGGTGAGTCTGCCTTGCCTTTCGGAATGTACAGTATGCCGACTCCAACTTCACACAGTCAGGGTGCTTTTCATACATGCACATAGGCACGCATATAGTCTATGATGCTCAGGCAACCCCATTGGCCTCCGACGCCCGTGCCGTGGGCATGGACTTATGTACGAGGGCGTTCACCATTGGCGCTGCATGGAGTCTCGTGGCTACAGTTCACACTACATCGGGTCATGGAGAACTCCTGAACTCGGATGGCCAGAGCCAATGGTCAAGCAGACGCACTCACGCTACATGCTGTTTATCAGATTGTGTGCTTTAGCCACCGGATGAGTTGCTGCGCTCCGGAGACGGGATGTCAGATATGTCAAGCCGCCATGGTTGTGGCCCTGGACGATCAGCGTGCATAGACGGGCATCCGCCGGCGACCATCTGCCTCTCGGCGGCGGCGGCAACTTAGACTTCGACGTAAGAGGTGACCGGGATCGCGATCTGGGATCTTGCTTGGTCACTCATTGAATCGCAATTGGAAGTCGTGACGATGTCGTGTGCTTTTCGGCTGCTGCCGCCTCTGCCATACTACATGAATACACGTTCGATTTAAGCACTCGCTGAAACTCACATTCAGCTCACTCACCCTGTGTGGTCAACACCTACAGACCTACTTTCCAGCGCCGAAATACATTCGCATGTTCGGACATGCAACCAATCACAAGGACCATCGGTGTGTGTGGTTCGCATGCTCCTACATGAGATACTGAGTCCTGAGCTCACCTCGACGGCGTACTGCTGCGCTCCTTGCATAGGTTAAGGGACCAATAGTCTTATGATAGGGATTGGGCACCCACCGGCTTTCATCTCAGCTGCAGCTTCTAGTCAACCCCCGACGCGAATGAGACTTTCTGTCGCAAGTGTTCGTAAAGAAGCGTCTGATACTCTCCGACTTCACGTACAGTACGTGTGCGCTTTGACGGCACCGTTGAGCCAATGGCAAGATAGGAGTCTCCAGCCGTCGGATTGGCTGCTATGAGCCGCTACGCAGCCATTGTCCTCATCAGTAAGATTTCGAGCTTGTGATAACCTGGGAGGCGATGCCGGCCTCTTGCAGGTTTGGGGTATGCACTTGTCATCAACGCAACTTGATTTCAACCGCTTTGTCCCGTTCCCGAGAACAGTATACCCTCATAGTACTTGGACAAGTTTCAATACCATTCCCATCTTTAGCGACGCATCTTGCGACTCGGAATACACCTCGGCGTGAATTACCCGTCCAATGTCAAAACGCTGCCGCGCCCGGAGGCGCTTCATTCGACCCGCGAGCGGCTACATGAGCGGCGTGGGGATAGACCAAGTGGAGACGCAACCAATTGCGACGCATGTATGCACACGGTCTCTAACGATTATCAATCCTCGACACTGGCCAATCGCTCGACTGAATGCGCTGGCTCCAATCGCGGACCGTGCGCGTCAACAACAAAGGGTCGCGCCATGACGAATAAAGCCGTTTATTTTCACAAAATGCCCGTGTTCCCCCGCTGTCACCTACGTATTGGCACGCGATTGACATGAGCCAAAGCACATATAGCGAACGTCTGATAGTGCTGAGTACGCGGGCATGAAACTCGTTGGAAATGACCGCACCAGTCCTCTACGCCCGCGCCCGCCCAAGCGCGGTAGAAGCTCGTGCTCGTTTCGCGAAGCCGACTCGCTTCCCTGATGCGGCCAGCTATAATTGACACCGCGATTTAAACGGGGAAGAAGCGCAGAAGTGACGGGTCAACATCACGTCTCACTTCGGCCTGCAATGGCAAGTCGGGTCCCTTGGCGGCGCACAAAAGGAAGTATGCGGGGCAACGTTCTCGAAAGCCTAGCGCTTGAAGCTCTTGGACGCCGCAATCATGATCAGCGCGACGCAGAATTGAGCGAGTGCGCTTCCTCAAGCCTGCCAACATCTTCTAGCCCGGATCGTACCATCACCCGCTTCTTTCCCAGCGCTCTTGTTCCAACTTGATTCGGGTCATGCCAGTGTATGCGGTAGAACGTTCGAACAGAGCAGTGTGCTATGGACATCCCTCGTCGTGGAAGGTGACAGGAGGGAAGAAGAAACGCTATAGGCTAAGCAAGTAGTCTACTGAACATGAGGTGATGGCGATGACGAATCTGACGCCACCTACGTGGCTATGACAGCAAGAGGCTAATAGCCTTTCTGGATCTGCGATAGAGACCGCGGCGACATGCGAGGCCGCGCTGTATCGCACATGAGTTGCTACGCTCAAGCAAGCAGTACAAGTATGCTATGAACGGCCATCGTAGCTGGCTTGTACGGGCTTTGCAGATGAGTCAGCTCGAGAGAGATGCTACGTATGGAGGCGCCTCGGCAAAAGTATGTCAAAATCCCGCCAACGAGTGGCCTTGGCGCCGCTATGGTCATACGTCGGATGCGTGTGTAATAGAATATTCCGATGCGAAGATGAATGCGGATTCCATCCTGCGCCGATAGTCATAGTATGGGTTCATCTGCTCAGTGAGCCGCAGAGCGTGAGCCTGGCATAGATTCTGCCGTCACTGGACGAGGGTACCACTCGACGAGCCCGCGATATACGCGATACGTAGCCGCTGGGATCTGATCAGACGAGCAGCATAGAAGAAACGCACGTCAGTACGTCCCGCGGAATCCTTGTAAGAACGTAATGCACAAGGCAGGATGTTTGTCAGTCTCTTCATCGACCGACTAAAGGGCTCTTGTTGAGTCGCAAAGCTCACCAGAAGAAGTGATGGAGGCTACACGAGCGGGAGATGGACCCCGGCCAGATGGGTGGTGGGGTCATCACCGCATTCGAGCGAGTTGACCTCTTCGATCTGACGCGTTGATTGTGTCCACAGCCCGCAATCGCGCCGACCTGTATCTCCCGAGCGTCGCGGATTTGGAGCTCCACGAGTGGTAGATGTTTGAGAGCAGGAGGTACATAAACGGGCAAACGAATACGCCAAGACGCGACAGTCAGGTAATGGCACCGTAAGATCGTTCGTGCCCAGGGTGTCGAGGGACCTTTCACATGTGTTCGAGACCATACCGATGGGGAAGGCGGAGTTGTACATGTCCCGCACCCCAGTGGATTGCATAGGTCTCAAAGAGGATAGATCAGCTGTTTTGATATCGCTGAGCGTCGGTTGGGGGGTAATCGGGTTGATCTACAAGATCTACAAACAGCGTCGATCCATGGACAACATGATGGGCTACAAGTGAGCCATGCTCGCGAAGGATGGATATGCGCGACAACGAAGTCAAGGACTATTCTTGGGATGCGACTCATGAGATATTTGTGTAGAGATAATTGTCTTGGTGTCATTTATACCGCCTTCCGATAGACGCACGCGACGAGGTTGGAGGTGTCGAGACTCCCCGAGCTGTCTGACGGGTAAGCGTCATTCCCGCGCCGTGAGTCACAGCGGGGAAAGTACTCACTATATCTTTGAAGCTCTAGATGAAGTTGCGAAATTTGCGCCCTCATGCGAGAAGAAAGGTTATGTGTAGCTAGTCAAGTAAGGCCGCAGGATGCACTGCGACGCATATGATTTCAAGTCGGGATACCCGGGCGAGTGGGCACACTGCTGAGTAGCGAGGACTTCCTGATTCAGACAGTCCGCGAGGTAGCGACGGGTCGATAGTTTGACACGGCGGTGGAGAGCAGTCATTGTGGCGCCGAACAATCATCAGGAAGCCGCCTTGGGAGGGGATATTGCAATTGGATGCCGATTATGGCGGTTCAAAAGCGAGCGCATTCCTTTCACGGCCGGCTCCATAGATGTCATGACAACAGAAGCATAGTTATTAGATGATATCTGGCAGTCATTGAAAGCAAATGATTATAGAGTAGGAATCCAGTCGTGGCGGAAGGAGCACAACGAAGAGAGGAAGGCCTTCGGCGCGGAGGCTCATCGGCATTCCCACGAGCGCACCGGAACGCCTGCGCGGCCGTCTTCACAGCGCACCTTCGAATTCGACACCGCTTGGCCCAGCCTCATTCTCCGATAGATCTGTCGCCCACCGGCTTGACGTGTGCGAAGCCACCAGGTTGACGAGATCGAAAGCTAGATGATAGAACAGCTGTCCCAAAACGACAACAAATGAAGCCTCGTGGCGGCGCCTCATGCTCGCACCGCCGCCAGGCTGAGTGCGGCTTTGGGCCTTCCTGGACGAGAGTCTGAAACGCCACCTATCAAAAGGCTCTCGCGATTCGAGCGCAAGCTCGTGCGCTGGAGGTGGCGAACAGAGAAACAGAAGCGCGGGCCGAACGGAGGTCAACGAAATGACGTCCCGAGGCTTTATTAAAATTCCTTTTATGGACGTTCGGGGATTTTGGCAATCCGGGGGTTACCAACTGGCGGGCGCGCCTTGCTCACGACACTCATCGGCGATTGGGCTTCGTGGACCAGAGTGATGCACCGGTGCTTCTGCTGGGTGTGGCTCTTGCTAGGCTGAAATGGGGCCCTGGCTAATGCGGCGCAGATCTCGCCGAGCGATGGGCCGCTGCTGGCGCTCGTCTCCGTTCGAGCTTGTTTTGCCTCTGCCGTCGCCCATACCTCGTTGTCTGCAGCACCAGCATGATTGCTCGGGTACGGCGCGAACATGCGGCTACGAGGAATAGGGTGTTCTTACTCGGAAGAGGCGTGGAATCGAGCAGAGTTTGCGGAGAGAGAAGGGGTACGCGCCGGCGCCCCGGGAATCTGGCGGCGCCTGGCGTGCATGTAGGCCTGTTAAAGCATCTGCTTCAAAAGGCCGTGAGGCGAATCGTGCCCTTCCGAACGAACAGCCATGCCCTCCTCTCCCGACTCGGTCGATGACCTGTCCTATCCTCTTGCGTGTGATGACCGCACACGCGACGCCGTCAGGACCATCGTCTCCGGACGCAAGTCTTGGAAGACATTGAAAGGCAAAGGCGAAGCCGTGTGGCCTCCATATCTTGAGGCTGCGCTTGTAGAGGGTAACTCACAAATATTATCATGTGTTACGGCCGCGCGCTAACTATAACTCAATTGCTAGCTTTAGACAAGTACAGGCCAGAGTCTTCGCGATCGACTCGCTCGCTCAGCAGGTTTCCCAACCGTAATAGGTTCATCTCAGACTACATTTATCACGTCACCGGCAAGCGTAGGACAGCCAAGCAGGTCGGTTCACGCCTTCAACAATTGCGTGACACCTGCGGGGGGAAGCGCATTTTGAAACTGTTATCTTCGCGCGACTATTCAGACGACGAAGGCGTCTCCCTCAGTGCTGCTTTGCCCCCGTCTCTGGGCTCCTTCAAGCCGTCCCGAGCACTCGTCACGATCGACGTCCTTCCTGCAGATGCCTCATGGTCCCAATCGCTGGCTGTTCACAGTAACCCGATGCTCTCGCCGCCCTTGTCTCCTACTTCAACTGGGCCGCCCTCTGCCATCGCTTCTTCGCTTGCTCCTCTATCTGTACCCTCGCCTTCTGGAGGAGGGTTACAAGCGGCGGTGTCTACTTTTCGCTCACCATTTGCCCGTCCCCTGCGAGTGATAGACCCGACTGTCACTTTTACCTCGGCCGCGCTGGTACACGCTACTTCAGCATGTGCGGTCTACTTCAACGGAAACTGCGTCCATCGCGAGAGTACCGCCATGCAGGTCAGCCAAACTCCGGACAACCTAGGATATGTCTACCGTGTGGCACTGGTGCCCGGCTTTTGGCAGAAGCTCTGCGAGTCCAATGGTCAGTGCCGTCAAAGTTTGTATTGAGACCTCCATTCTGATCTCAACCGCCAGATCCAGGACGATATTCTATCGTGCAGGAGATCACGCAAAGCGCAATAGGATCCAGTCCCCTGAGCTCGCCATCACTCTCTGCGGAGATTCCTCAGTCGGCATCCGTCCTTCTCACCGTCGTCTATCAGCTACAGGAGCCTGCTGGAACCTACTACGAAGCACAATCTATCAACGCATCGCCTGAGACGTCGCCCAGTCCTACGCCAGCACCCTTGCAGACGCAGATGCAAAGTCATTCAGTGGATTACAGCCATTCATTAACCGCTCTGTGCGATGTACGTTGTCCAGTACTTCCAGTGAATTGTCAGTCATTGACACGATGTTCAGTCATCCGGATATTTCCCTCAGCTTCCGATATCACCCGTCAGCGCAACGTTCAGCGACGTGCCGGCGCCGCCCCAGCAGCAATCGGTGCCGATAACACAACAATACCCGCATGCCTCCTCGCCCTCTACATATGCACCATCTACATCCTACGGCCAGTCTACATCGTACGGCGGATACGTTACCACACACCATCAGCAGCAGTCGCACATGGCTTTGCCCGTGGTCCCGGCGGTTCTGCCTACCGGCCAACCTGTGCAGTCTTACGATCAATTCGACAGCACGGCCGCCATGGCAAGCTGGTACAACCAGGGTCACCAGGGCTATCTGTAATCCACCATCTTCTCTTCCCAGTCTCGCTTGCTTGTTTCGCTCGCCCCGATACCCTGTCCACCAAAAGCAGGGCGCGCTCATTTTCATCGTCGTCCCTTGTTCTCGTTGTGTTCGCTCGCATATGATCGCCTCGCTTCGCTCCAATCGCTCTGTACTCCATCGCTCCGCAGTGATTGCATGGACCGCCCGCATCCCGCCTGCTTCTCGCTCCCGATCCATTCTTCGTGTGCAATGCATATGCTCATTCGTTAACCCCATTGTCTCTATCGGTACCCTATCTCCCCTGCGCACACTCATGCGCACTTGCCTTTCGCTGTCTATACTTCATTTCCCCTTGTAATCTCCCAGCTTCCGCTGTACTTAATGTCCTCCACGCACTCATCACCAATCTGTATCCGCATCACGTCATCCGCATACCTTGTTGTCATTGTCCACGGCGCCATCCTTCTCATATTACCCCTTGCATTTGTACCGCATGTTCTACTTACTTACCACTGGAATGCTTGCAAGTAACATTGATCACGCAATTCTGTTCCTGAGACTGTACGGCGGCTCGTGCACGCTCGCTGCGCGTTTCGCAGGCGGTGTTGCAGGAGCGCATTGCGGGTGCCAACGTTGGATAGAGCCTGTCGGGAGATGTGTCAGCGCCCGCGGACAAGTTGCTAGACGTGATAAATGAGCGCGCCCGCGCCCAACGCGCCGGAGTTAAAAACAGACTATCGAAGTTCAACCAGCCTGAGCCGCTCAGGATGGAAGGCAGATGGACCGCAAGCTACAAGCGTTTGTAGCTCGGCGTCTGTCTACGTATACAAACGATGCCGGCGGCGACTCTGAGTGCAAACGGAACGCGGCCGACGTGAACTGATTGATCTACGAGCGATACAACAAAGCCAATGAGAAAGGTAGGCGCGCAAGATTCGAGCGAATCTAGCTACATGCTCTGGGCAACGCGCAGCATCGCGACCGTGCCCTAGGAGCCTAGGACTGCATGTCTATCAGTACGGTCGCGAAGTGTGGCCTACCGACGAGATGCTACAGCGGCATTCGATGGAAGCAATATAGGTCCAAGTGGTGTTCAACCCGGCGGCCGCCGGTATAAAGACGGAGGGACTGCTCAGTGCTGCCTGCATTTGGATGGTCGACCACAGGTCCATAGCATTAGCTACGATACCATCATCCGAAGCTGCTACAAGCACCTCGGTGCTAGGCTTTCACCGGATGTTGACGGAGGCCGCGGGCCCCAAGCCGTAAATTCAATCAGGCGAGCCCACGTACGAGTCCCTTCTCGTACAATGGGGCACATCTGCGCGGTGCTCTAGCACAGGGGCCGTGCACCGCGGCATACCCGGAGACTTGTGTACATCCAGTCGGTAGTATTCTCGGTGGTCCATCGGAATGTGCATCACTCTTCTGCGGCTTCGCAACTTCGCGTTAATTAAGACTTACTCACACCTGGCTCGGCCCTCCCGCGCCAAAGGTCCGCGAGCTCCGGTATTGAATACAAGCATAGGACAGTAAATGTGCCAAGACACTCTGACGGCACGTCACTCGATCGGCTAGAAGGTGAGATCTAAGTGATAACTCGACAAAGATGCCAGCCTGAAGAGCCACCTGAGCTCAGTATGCTTTACAAAGGTGTGCGAAGTTCGATACGTGCGTCGCCGAAGACAAGTACCACAAGAGGCGTGCGCGAGTGTGTATGACCCGACTCGCAAGGTACGCCAACGCACCCGCACGTATTCACTTCACAGACCCACTGGAATCCCCACTCCTGTCCTCGTGCGCACCCAAAAGCCATACGGCGTCAATTCCGGAACGTGTTTCGAGAACAGCGCCGAGATGCTCGGTTGGGCGATGCTCGAAAGCCCCGAATAGGGCTTGTCTTATCGCCGAGGCGGGATGGAATCTGAGTTAGGTCGCATCTGACTTACGCGTTCGGTGTACTTGTTCAGATCGCAAGGCGCGAGGTAGATCTGTCTTGAACCTCAGGGAAACGGGCAACTTTTCTAGTATAGAGCAAAGCCGATCAGTCATAGAGTGAGCTGCAGGCTCACTCGGCCATCAGACGATGGGAGATGCGCCACATCTATTGGGGTAGGTGGGCACGAAACAGTGAGGCACCCTAGCAGACTGGGTATGTCACGGCTTTGGTGGCTTCTTGACGCAGCTATTCATGGACCACAAAGCTTGTAGCAGTATCAGATAGTAGTTACAACATGTGATCAAGCATAGAGCGTGCGTTAGGGTGAGATAACGAGGAGAGCTTTTGGATGGAGTCTGGGGGCTGGTCAGGCGGTGAGGTCATCGCCTAGGTTTACCTTGCCTAGCTCCCTTGATGTACACGGGGAGTCTAGACTCTCACAGAGGAGCAAGAGCAATACTGCTTCATTGAGCGTAGTCGTCCCGAGTCAAAGGAGCACAATCTTGAAGACGCTGGCCGACGGGGACTCGAAAGAACTTCTGTCAAGAGATAGCGCTAGATAGAAACCCATTTCCGCCCCCATCGATCAACGCTCGTGCAGGGACATGATAGTAAGTGCGCATGTGAAGAGATCACCTTTTCCTATCGCCATCCGCTATTCAAACTTCCGCGACCATATATGCGATGCCCAACGCATGACTCACGGCTGTCAAGACCATCCGAGTCGAAGCGGGGTGGTCAGACGTCTCGCTTCCTAACGTTTTCTGCGCCTTCACTTGGCCTACTGTGCTTTGACCGTCTCCGCGAGATAATATGTTGGTCGTTTGATCATCGAGCGGGGTCGTGCAAAGTGAGGTGGTGGTTCGGGTTAAGCCGGTTAGGACGTATTCGGGTCCCGGACCGCGGCGCGTGCTGGCGTGTGGCGTTCGCGGAAGCACGCGCTGGCTTCTGAGTTCTAGCTCAGTGTACTTGGACTCATTCGGACGACCATTGATGCCCGTGCGCTTACAATTGCATAGAGGTAGAGCCTTTCATCGAATGTCGGGAACATGTATATCCCCGTGATTGTCCATCCGACCCGAATGACTACACAGGAGTCCTGTAGCAACGCAAGTACGTCGAGTCCCTTTCAGCCAACTGTTCAGTATTTCAGAGAGATTATCCTAACTAGGTATATGTGCGATATATTGTAGCAGAAATGAGTGCACAATCAGAGAACCAATGATGTGTAGAACGAAGCAGGTGCAAGTGAGTCCATATTCTCGATCAATGTTCGAATATCATTACTTCACTGGAGTCGGAGCGGGCATCCATCGTCTTTGAGCAGCGGCTGAGCCGGTACAAAGCGCTGTCGGCGCAATGACACCATTCGAGTCCCAAGCGTTGGGATAGGAACATCCCGCCACGGCCGTGAACGCCCCTTGTTGATCTTGTGCATTGGCCCATCCGCTTCCCTCACTCACTCCCTTCGTCACGCTGGGCATGGGAAGAGTGCTGACGGTACCAGTGGGTGTGTAAGTGGGCTCAAATGCAAAGGCGGCGGCGTCCACTCCCGAAAGAGTCGTTGGTGGCCAGGGATAAGATTGCGTTAGCGTTGCTGGTATCGGCGCAGGAGTGGGATTGCCCGTCTGTGACGCCTGATAGGTATACGTCTCAACGACTGTGGTACTTGCACCGTCTACTAGAGATGCGCATTTGCCTACTGAGTCACGAGGATCAGTAGGCATCCAGCTATACGACGGCACGTCAGTTATGGCCGGAAAACACGGTATCGCGGTGTTCCCACGCACCCGTTCTCGAGACCAAGCTGATAGCTCCACAGAGGCGCCTGCACTGTTCCCGCGCTCGAGTTCCCAATTTTCCATGTCCAGAAGTACCAGTTCTCAATGGCGTCCATCGTAGCAAGCATGAATTCGCGGAAACCGTCTTTCATGGTCTGATTCCAATTTTCCCATTCGATGAAAGGAGTGCAATCGCCACTATACGACGCGCCATTGGAGACGCCATTGATAAAGAGTCCACAGTCGTTGATCGCGTTGCTGAACTCGCCAGCGATGGTGACGCCAAAGTCGGTTTGTGAAACGTTGAAGTTGTCTCGCCATGCCGAACATGCCTGCTGGGGCCAGACGCCGCCGCTGGCCCCGTCAGCCACGAGCATGCCTTGTTCGGGAACAGCGACCGGCTCCGTGTTCGGCTGACCGTCGAAAGCAAAGTAAGGGTGCATATCGAGCACTAGGCGGTCTGTGCCATTCATCCAGTTCTTCCATGCATTTGTCCCAAGGAATCCATCGTGGATAGTGATGACTGGAACGAAGCCAAGAGATTAGTCTCCTAATCACAAGAATACATTTTCGGCACGCTTACATGGTCCATTGCCGGCGCCATACCCCGTGACGTTGTTGCGTATCATCTCCATAGCCTCGACATAACTAGTGTTCTGTCTCAGCGTGCATTTGGAGGGGTTACAAAGGCATATAACTTACAACGACGTTATGATATCTTGTCCAACCTGGCCGACAAAGACCTGGATATTTCCGTTTGTAGGAAACTCCTCCGCAAGAATGGCAGCACGAACCTCGTTCACGATACCAAACAAGGGTATTAGATCCCTGTACTCCTCTTGAGAGATGAACTCAGTGATGATACGAATATAAGAGAGCGTGCGTTGAGCGTTCGCAAGTCCCATGACGCCCTTCATGAAGTTGATCTGCCCAAGTTTGCCCGAATGATTATACCCTACGCTCTTGTTTCAGCGTATGTTGGACGTCTCAGGGAGCCATCTGAGCGTACCATTTTGGGAGCCAGGTACGGTGTGGAGATCGAGATAGATACGGAGACCGTACTTCCTGGCCCAGTCGAATGCACGCAAGATATACTTCCAACAGACGCGTTCGAGGAAGGGTTCGCCTTCCCACGTCTCGATCGCCCAATACGGCACTGGTAGTCTTATCCAGTTGAGCCCGGCACCCGCAATTTGAATGAAGTCCTCTTCTGTCTGCAATAGACTCGGTCAGCGATACGCACATGCTAGATCACAACTGAATACGCACAATGAACGTGTTGTAGTGATCTTCGAGGACGGCTTGCAGCCCACCGCTTGACGTGTCGTTTGCGATCGCCTGACTGAGGGTCCACTCGTCGACAGCCTCCGGGTATTTTTGGAACAAAGATGGCACGATATACGGCTCCAGAACAAACCAGCCTACACGCGTCATTCTTTATGGGCAAAAACGCGTGCCATTCAGAATGGCTTACCTCCGAGGTTCACACCGTAAACTCGCTCCTTTCCCCAGGTCCACGACGTGTTGAGAGGCGGCGTCCAGCTATTGGGATACGCGTTGGCGTTGAAGGGATCTTTAGGGTCGTCAATCCCTGGTCGTGGAGTTAGTTTGGAGAGTTGTGGGCCATTCGTGCTGTAACGTACATATCCCGCCAAACGGATTGTTGTAGAGAACCTTCCCGTTCGCGGTGGTGATCTCACTGCCGTTCCCACCGCTCGTGGCACCTCCATGATCAGAAGAACTCCCGGAAGAGCTCGATCCGCTGCCGCCGTCGCCAGATTCGTTCTCATCGTCCGACTTCTTCCCGACTAATACGACTGGAAGGACGATTGCAAGAACGACCACCACAAGCGCAAGAGATGCAATCATCCAGAAAAGTGGCCGCTTCCACACAGGACGACGAGCAGAACCCACGACAGCAGCCTTCTCGGACGCAAGAGCAGCATTAGACCCATTCGGTGTGGGATCGGCCAATGCAGCCCGTGGTCCGTACGAATCACGCGGTGTGGCGGTAGGCGTAGCGCCGACAAATGACATGGACGGCTGCGTCTCGAGAGCGGTCGTGTGTGCCGCTGGAGCAAGGAACGGCTGGCTTTCTCGAGGAGTTCGCAATCCAGGTGTCGGGAGAGGTGACTGAGCTGGTGTGCCATAGGCCGCGTCGCTGTCTTCGGTCATGACAGCAGAATCGGGGCGGTCTGGAGGCGCCATTCCGGCGACAAGGGCGAGCAAGGCTGCAAGCTCGTGGTGGCAAGAGGGAAGCGGAGGCCTGCGCTTCTGAAGCCAGAATCAGCATGTTCACTTTCAGCTAGGCCTGGGATCATGAGGCCGATCCGGACGCTGAGAGTCTCATGTTCCGCAACCAATGAGGGATTCAATATGTTGCCCGGTTCTCATATCGGACAATGAACCAGGTGAGGAAAGCGCCGATATCTAGGACAATGTGTATGAAACAGCGCGGACGCCATGGTCGTGGTCGCGATAGAGCAGCTCGCTGTCGGGAATCCAACAAAGCGTGGGAGGTTTACGAGCCTCGTGGGTCGCGGCCGAAGGTCCGATCAATGAGCGAAATGAGCGAAAGCGGCTGCTTGACCGGGACCACCACGATGAATGGTATGCCTGCTTATCTGAATGGAGGGCTGTTGCTGATATTGATAATAGGACTAGTGTCTTACTCTGATGACTCTCAGAGCGATGGTGAAGCGAGGCATGTAAGTGTCCGTCATTTGCCTACGAGTTGGCCCGTTTCCCTCGCACTCTTCCCTGCGGCAGGACATAGGAACTAAGCACCGCGCAGGCCAATCGCCGGATAGTAAGCTTGAAACTTATTTCTTTGCCACGATATATGCTCATAGGTGTCAGGAGGGAAAGCCATGAACGCCAAACCTCAGATCATCAAGCGCCGTAGTGTCCCGCCCAAGACGACTGCACGGGCGCATCAGCCGGACGAACCTCCCATAGAGCATAATAACGAAGCCAAAACATCGCGTGGCTCCGCAGAGATCCCGCCTGCTGTACCGCAAGATGAGCTGGCCGAAATACGAGCCTTGCTGCACCCGCCAGATATCCCGGGGCTTTCGGACTGGGGAATACCCCCACCTTCAGCAGCGACTTGTGATCCAAACCTAGAGGTGAGTCTGCTACGACTAGGTTACTCGATGGGATTATCATCGATATCCGTCTAGGCCAAGATCACGCAGTTTCGTTCATTGAAGCGCGACCCTGTGCAACCAAAACACTTCAACGACGCGCTGATGGCTTCGCGCGCTTTCCGTAATCCTCACATCTATGCGAAACTGGTAGAGTTCGTTGGTGCTGACGAGCGTGCGACAAATATACCCCCTACTGTATGGAATCCAACGGACCTCCGGACGGAATGGTATGCCGATCAAATCGGTATGTCCGACAGCGCACGGTGTATTGTGTCCTTCGCTAATGGACGCGCCTGTCTTCGATCACGTTCGGTCTGCTGTACGACGATTTTTGGCCCTTGTATCTCTGCGCGTGGACGGCAGCGGACTTGCAGAAGAAACGCAATGACGAGCGGGAGGGTGCACAGTCTGGGGCTAGCTCTAATAAACGCGCCAAGATCGATTTCACTTCATCTCGTCAGCCTGGTTCTGCCACCACGACGGCCCCGTCGTCCGGCAATCCATATTTACAACATCATGCGGGTAACCCCTACACGTCCCGCCAAGCGAGAAGTGGCGATGCTCGCAAGGCGAGATTAGGAGAAGGTGTGCGAGGAAGATGGGGATAAAGGCTGTGCTGTGAGGTCCGGATTAATCATTCGTGGGCCATTGAACAATCAACTCCTTGCTCTTGTACCCATGAATTCCTCATGATTTTTTTCCGTACGCTGTACTTCTTCCCTGAGGTTGTGATAATGGCATGGCATTGAATGAACTTGCCAGATGAACCCTCTGTAAGGTCCTTGATCCAGCCATTGCCGCGGGACGGTGCGTGGGTTAATGATCTTCAAAACTTTGTAGCGGAAGGTATATCGCCCCGTGGAGAATGTGCCGAGCGCCCAGCGCTTCTCATCGCCCGCGCGGGCTGTAGACGCCGACAACGAATGGCCGCGAAGATTATATAAAAGCGGCCGATCGTGATATTTGGGTTTATACATCCCTGCTCGGACGTCCGCCCGGTCTGACTGAGCTGCCAACTCGCTGACTGGCCAGACGCGATGGCCGTCCGCGCTCGCTCGCCGTTGTTCTTGTTTATTGCTGTCACCCTCCTCCTCATTGGTGGCTACGTCTCCTACCCATCTAATCCCGTCTACCCGGACCTTGCATCCTCGCGATTCTTCGACCCGGAGGTCGCCGAGCCGAACGCCAATATCCTTCTTGTCTCAGCTTTCTTCCCGCTCGCGAAGTCGAAGCACTCCTTGGAGGAATACGAGGCTTGGTTTACGCACTTCCTGCAACCCATCGAGACCGATCTCTACTTCTACTGTCCACCGGATGTCGTTCCTCTCATCCAGCGCATGCGAGGCAACAAGCCCATCATCATCGACACGACATACCACGATCCCCAAGACGTCCCGCCTCTCAAGGAGTACCACGATATCTACCAGGAGATGCATGCATGGGACAAGGAGAAGTCGTATCATGGTCCTGGCCTCTACGCCGTTTGGAACGCCAAGCCGTATTTCCTGGAGAGGGGTCTTGCATTGGCGGAGTCGAAGAACGGCGTGAAGTACGACTACGCCTTCTGGCAGGACGCCGGAGGGATGCGCGACCCTCATACGCTCAAGCGCTGGCCGAATGCCAAGCGTGTCGTAAGCGCCTTTGGCGCTGCCTCGCGGAGTAGCGGGACGCCCGAGGATGAACTGATCTTCTTCCCGTGGTGGTGGACGCCCAAAAAGGAATTTTGGACCTGGAAGGAAAGTGACGGGCCCATGGACGATACTATTGCTGAGGGTTTGTGCCCAGTCATCTGTTCTGTGGCTTCCAGCTGACATCCCGCCTCTACACAGGATCATTCTTCGGCGGGAGGCATAAAGCGATACACGACTATGCGACTACGTACTACGCCTACCATGACAAGTGGCTTGCGCAGGGTCTCTTCGTGGGCAAGGACCAGATGCTCATGAACTCGCTCGTTACGCTCTTCCCACGACACTTCTTTGGCGTACTACTCTACGATTGGGAGTGGCCGGACAGGAGCTCCGTCGGCGAAAGCGAGAAAGTCAACTCGCCCCTTGGGGCTTGCGGTAGTACTTGGTTTTACTACCAATGGTGGATGGCAGACGCAGACGAGCGCGAACATACCGCAGACCTTTGGTTAGGGTCTGGTGCTCGTGATATCGACAAGCAGCACGACAGGCCAAAAGGCAGCATACGCTGCCGGGATACCTATCTCATCATGGCCGATGACCTCCTTCGACGCTCCTTCGGAAAGGTCTGGTGGGCACCACGGACTTCACTTTCATGGGGCCAGAAGTATACATGATCAGCATTTTGTCATCTCGCTTTGCTTTGTTTTCGGGTCTGGGTTGTTGGCAGGGTCGTCGTCTCGGAACTCATTTTGTATCAATACCATTGGGCGCTGTGATTGGGATGAATGTAGTGATACCCTTGAATACATTGACAACACGATAATTATGATTTGCAACGCTGCATAACCTGCCCGAACGAACGTATCAACAGCCGAATTGAGACCCTGAGATTACAAGCATGATGCATGATGAACGCTCATCAATCGATACGGCGGGGACTCTTCGGGACGAGTAGCCACAGAATGGTCATCACACTCATCATGGATACAACCCTGTGGGAGCGTCAGCTCACTGCTTCAGCGGACTCATAAACGGTACTCACAGAGGCTGAAGAGAGCTGATACCGAAGCGAGCAGCAAGAAGACCCGTGAAGAAGGGCAAAAGGGCAGAGCCGACTTGACCAAGACCAGTGATCAAGCCCAGCGCAAAGCTCAACAGGCCCCGCGGAAGAATCTTCGATGAGTGGTTCACGAGGATGGGGTACATGGGCCCGAACATCATTCCGATTGCTGATACGGCAACGGCGTTTTCGATGAGCGAAGGGACAACCCAGACAGTAACCTCCAGCCTGCAGGTTGCGTGAGCCTGATGCGCGCTGAACGGGGGATCGTGATGACTGACCCTATGCAGAGCACAGCATAGACCGTCAATGCACGCGTCTCGCCAATGAGCTTATTAAGCTGGAGCAGTGCTACACGACCTAAAGCCAATCCACCAAAGAAACCTAGCGTAAATGACCATCAGCTCATGCTCGAGATGATGGTCGATAGACCGATATACCCGATGAGATGTAACCAGAACTGGCACCACCACCACGCTCGCGCTGAATGAAAGTGACAATCCAACCTCCAAGCGAGGCCTCGATACCGATGTAGATGATAGCAAATGCGATTAGATAGTACACAGTGCGGATGCCAAGCATGGCGCGGTACTTGTTCGCATTGCTCTCCTCTTGATGAGGTTCGGTACCGATGTCGTGCTGTCCGGCTTCAGCCATGAGTACTGCGCGGGGAGGTTGTAAGATATCAGGCTGGGCAGCGAGCCACGAACAACGAGATGCGCACCATCTTGACGACGGAAGCGGAAGACGGCGCAGAGGGCAAGAACGTTTATGAGGGCAAAGCTCAGAGAGATGAGATAATGGTAAGACCAGTGGCGTTGTTGCGAGAAGTAAGTCGCAGCCAGAGGAGCCAAGAATGCCCCAACACCTGCGATGAAGAATCAATATAAGCTACAAGGCGTCGAAGAAGTACGCACCGTAGGTGCCGTGAAGAACACCGAGCATCCAAGCTTTCCCGAACTTCACACTTCCGACGTAAGCATTGCCGAGGGCATTCTAAAGAGGGTTTAGGGAGTAATAGCAACGATATCTTATCAACATACCTGTAAAGCAAGTCCAAACCCAATGAAACCGAATGCGACGATAAACAGAGGAAACGGGCCTCCTGGCGCCTCAAGTGCGTAAGCTAGCATCTGCACAGTTGCACCTGTTCGAAACGTCAATGACAGCAGAGAATATGACGGTACGCATAGCTCTCACCCATGACAATGACCTAGATAGACGCTTTAGTGAGTAAATCGACCCCACATGACCCTGTATTGAATACACGCACAGTGCCGAAGCCGAACTTTGCCTCGAGCGGGACAATGAGGAAAGCACCGGCGATGAAGCCCTGAGCACGATCAGGGGTGTTTCGCGTTGAGTACATCGATAAACATACCACAGCGTTCATGATAAAGATCGTTGATACCGTGACTATGATCGACAGTGAGAACCAACCGGAGTAGCGCACCGTGAGAAAGTAGACCCACCAAATCCGATCTATGCCGCGGGGATTAGCCCGTGTTCGCAATGACACAAAAAGACACGACTCACGCCGTAATATGCCTGGAAACGAGGTAATAAAGGACCCGTCGTACCGTCGTTCCATCCTTCGACGAAGAATGCCCAGCAAAGGACGCCGAAATGCAGCCATCCGAGCCGCTTTTGTGTAGGAGTGCGTGTCTCGCGAGTGAGCGGCACGGAGTCGGCATAGTTCAAGGACGGCGCGCGCGACGGTTCGACCGCGGGCGTTTGCATTCCGAGAGGTTGTACGGCAAACATAGCGTCTTCCGCGATAGGTGTAGGCATGCCTGACAGTTCAAACGCGGGGGGCATGGGTACGTCGGCGAGTTTGCCATGGCCATGACGCGCAAAGGCCAGCTCGGACCGGCGGCGGACGCGATTGCTGGGTGCCGCGAGAAAGGCTGGCAGTGGAAGCTCGGTCGTAGTTGTGATGGCCGTATCTTTTGTGTCGCCGTCGTCGTCCTCTTCAAATACCGGTGCGTGACGGTGGTCTTGGTTGCGCGGCTCCTCTAGAGACGAGCGCGTTGCTTCGACGTCTCGATCGGGGTCGACGGGCAAAGGAGCGACAGCCGCTATACTAGGCATGGCGAGGAGATGTTGAAAGGGAGCGGGGAATGCGGGGAGACGACAGAGCGTAAAGTGCACGGTTGGAGAGCGGCCAGGTGATAAGGCCGGCGCAAAAGAGTCGAGACTGGCCCTCCGGCGTTGTGGCCCGTTTTTCCGTGGTCGCATGAACTGGTTTAAGACGTACTACATCTCGCACATGCGTGACTTGATTTCGCAAGCGACCCGCGCGCCGTGCGCGCATCCGGATCATACTGAACCCACTGATAAAAAGTGCGGGGAAGTCGCCTGCGGATAGGTGTCTGCAAGGCTGTTTGTAACCCGGGCGGACGCAAATGAAGAGCGTGCTCTGCTATCTCTGATAGCCAACTCGTCCGACATGCTGCAGAAGTTCTTCGAAGCGACTGCAATCAGCAAAAGAGCTCTTCTGCGATAGTTAGACCCTGCACACGAAGTTTGTCGAGACAGTCGGCCGACGGAAGGACGTTGGAAGGGCGCAGCGTTCTTCACGTTCTCACTTTACTGCTCGGTCAACGTTGAGCCGCCTAGACAACGCCATTGGCCGCCGAACTTCAGGGTATAAGTGCCTGCCAGCGTGAGCCAATCGAGAGGCCAGCAGACAAAGCGGCAAGTCGGTGGACCGAATTCCGTGGACCCTCAGGCTATCACCGGGACGGTAATCGCACACTATTGCCTCGTTCATGCGCATGAGACCCGGCCTTGACGTGACCGGCATATATATCGCAGTGATTAACCGGTAGCCAGTCATCTATGACTTCGACACAGAGGTGGTGGTTGAGAGCAACTCGCACGCCAACCTGGCTTTCGGGCGAAGTCCGTGACCGGGACACGGTCCGAAAAGCCGAAGACTAAGGAACGCGATCTTGCGCACGACGCGCTCTTCGTCACCGCCGACCAGGACACTGACGAGGACTCGTTCGTCTCAAGTCTTCCCATCTGCTCTGGATAATCCACGCTAGAGCTCTAACTGGGTCAGATATGCACGCTGCTCTGCGCTCAGCTTCGCGTACGGCTCTGGCTCATGCTCGCCAGCCGACACCTGTCATCACCCGTTCTGCCTCTGTAACTCGCGCTCTCCCGAGTTCCTCTGTTGCGCTTGGAACACGTGGCTATGCAAGCAAGGGAAAGCGTACGAAGAAAGCCGCTGATTCGACGGCTGGCTCTCGCTCGAACGATGTGAATTCCGGACCGGCGGACGCGGAGGCCAGCGCGGCAGGTCAATCACCTTTCGAGGCACCCCCGCCGCCGGAAACTACCGGTTCTACTTCGACGGCGAAGAAGGCAGCAGCGGATGCAGCGGCGAACGCGACACCAGAGTCCACAACTCCCATCCCGCCGGCGCCTTCGCCACAGTCATTATCCTTGGATGTCGCGCCTCCAGACCCCACTGAAGAGGCGGGTTCAGGTGGCCGTACGGGTGCTCGCTCCTCAAAAGATAGCTTGTCAAGTATCGAGCGTCGGCAGCGTCGTCTTGCTCGCCTTGGCATGGGCGTAGTCGCTCTGGGCCTCGTTGGTGCCACGGTCTACATGGGTCGTGAGTGGGAATCCGATGAGTTGAAGGAACGCAAGCTGGTCAGTTGACATACATCACCGTCATTGGAACGTAATCCTGATATAAATCCTCTCAGACTGAGGAGACGGCACCGACAACACGATATGGGCGTACTCTGGAACGCTTCACGTCCTTATTCGACTTCTTCTCGAAACCCGCATGGACGGAGCTTCTGCCACCTCCGTTGCCCGCGCCGCATCAGAAACCATACACGTTACTGGTATCCATCGACGATCTGCTGGTTACCTCCACCTGGGATCGCCAGCACGGATGGCGGACCGCCAAGCGACCCGGTGTCGATTATTTCCTCGCCTACCTTTCTCAGTTCTATGAGATCGTCATCTTCACCACCCAAGCCTCCTTCGTGAGTTCAATTCTTGATTACACTTTCATCATTCGGAAGACTAAGGGTTTGTGAAGACGGCCATGCCCATTGTGGAAAAGTTGGATCCTTACGGGTTCTCCATCGCATACAAACTCTATCGCGAGTCCACGCGCGCTGGACCAGATGGACCCGTTAAGGATCTGTCGTACCTAAACCGGCCACTGGACAAGGTCATTCTCCTCGACGCGCACCCGGAGCACTGCACCGCGCAGCCCGAGAATGCCATCATAATCAAGCCCTGGAAGGGCCAACCAGGCGACAAGGGCCTCATCGAAATGATTCCCTTCCTCGAGTCGATCGGCATCTACCGTCCGAACGACATCCGTCCTATACTCAAGGCATACGAAGGGAAAGACATCCCGAAGGAGTATGCCATCAAGGAGGCTGCGGAGAAGAAAGCGCTCATCGAGGATTGGAAGGCGCGCGGCGGAGGCAAGGGTCTTTCGGCCGGCGGCTTCACATTCTCGAGCTTGTTCGGCGGCAAAGAGCCCAAACAGGCGGGCCCCGCGCTCCCGGAAACGTTCCTTGAGCGTGCTCGTCGGGAGGCGCAGAACATCTACCTTCAAGAGCAGAAGTACCTGCGCGACAACAAGGCAGAGTTCGATCGCTTGATGAAAGAGGACATGGAACAGCGTCAGAAGGAGATGGGTGGTACCATCTTTGGAATGATGACCGGCATGGCGGCAGCGGGCGCGAAGCCGCCTGGGCAGGAGGAGGCTCAGGATGGCGAGAAGCCATCGGCGGCCAAGGCATAGTCTGTAGATGCTTATGGATGCGCGTCCATCGCGTGCCAGTACGTATTTTACATATCCTCGTAATACTGGAATTGCAACAACGCATTCCGCCCACTCAACTCGATTCCCGTGCATGTCGCAGTGCCTATCAACAGTACAAGCCCGTGGGGAGTAGATCCGTGTGGTAGGTTGATGACATCCTAAGAGCTCATCAGGAATCATCGTGCCGGCGTTCTTACAGAGCCTCTATGGCTCAAGACTATGCGTCGCACTCGCTGAAAGGTCAAACTATAAGAAGTCGAACATGTCAGGATTGAGGAGACCAACGCCAGATCGCATATGAGTATTTTCCCCCGTGGATCGGGATACTGCTTTGTTACGACGTAATCTATCTCGAACATCGCGATGGGCGTTGTTGGTTCCTATCGTCGTGTATCACGATCGAGGGGAGGGAAAGGTCGATGACTCCAACCTCGCTACTTGATCCCTCGCCGACAATGGGAGTGCTAGTGAGTCCGCATTATCCTTTGTTCTCAATCGGGAACCTCCAAAGCCCAACTGTACATGGGTTCAGACCGGCTTCTGGTGGCCTGCTGCGCCGCTTAAGCATCAATTGAACTCCGACAGGGCGATGTCTCAGCGTTGTGCACGATTATATGCGCGGGCTGGCGATGAGAGACGGTGAGAGGTTCCGTGCATCACGGTGCTACTCCGAGTTCGTAGACGAGGCTGGGGCTCGTGTTTCCGCCTTTTAGTAAGGCTGCACAATGAAGTCAGGCTATGGGTGACCATGCTTGTAACTCAGATATGCGCACCATTTTACGGGTTACGGGTATGGTCGCCGAGCCTGAAGCCCGCTCTGTCCAGTGATCATTCTTGTTACACCTCGTTGCATCGAATACGAATATCGGCGCAGATCGGCGCGAAGATCCGCCCTCTGGCGGCTGTTTGAATGATCACCCACGTTCATGAACAAAAGAACTGCGCTGCGCACCTGTATCAGTAGATGACATATGTGATCAGCAGGAGTGGCGCCGTTAGAAGGCACCCGGGCTGGCCGGTGAACGGCAAGCGAGGTTGTGCGCTGCGAGCTCCTGGTGGGTGGAACCACTAGTCTCACCAACTCGAGCCACTGACTGACTTTGAGAACGACGCGCACCGAGAAGAGAATTAGAGATTTTGCGCACCTCGTGAGTGTGACATTGTTTCGGAGCGATGCAATCCAGGGCTTCACGTCTCGATATCGGGAAAGTGAATTGCTGTCGGCATTGGATAATGGCTGTCCTTCAATGCAGATATTACGTCCCAAGGCCATCCACAGTAAGTGACTCGGGCCTCAATAATGACATGCGTATCACACGCTGCATAGGTCCCTCTATGCAATGAAAGACAGTCAATGCACGCAGTACAACTCCTCTATCTGGTGAATCGAGCAGCAGAACGGTAACAACTTACCTCTTGTAGATGCCCCTTTGGTTGCCTTTCCGGTCACACACACCCAGGTTCATGACAGCCATACATCGGGACCAACTGCCACAAAGAAGCCAGTTAGCAATCAGAGCCTCGCAGAGACCCTTGTGAAAGATAATTTGAAGATTCTAGACTTGCTCGCGAGTCGGATGGTCTGCACTTAGACGTACTGGACGTACACGATCGCTGAGGCAGACAATTGAAGACGGAGGAGTACTCCTACCCAAGTGAGCCTGGGCGCGCAGCAACAGCCTCTCGGAATACGGTCGGACATGCGCTCGGAACTTCACCCATACAGGTGCCCATCGCAACGGGGCTCCCGTGTGACCGACGCCGACCCGCCCAGCTTCGGGCGCACTGTGGCCTCCGCACGGTTCTGGAAAAACAGGCGACCCAAAAAGGTATTTGCCCGGGGGAAAATGGGCGCGAGATGGCTCCCTTGTCATGGCATCGCGAGGTTCCCGTGCAATTGTATCGTGCGAGGGGGCGAGGTGCTGGTCAGTCAGGCGGTTTCAACCTTGCTAGTAATGGAGTCCCTTGGTTTTGTGACTTTCCGTTGCCAACGCTTGAGGCGGTGGTGGTAGGAGCCATGTTAGCTTCGTCGCCATGGACCGACACATTGCGCGGTAAATGCCGGCAGCCGGGCTCGCGGCGGCGAAGACGGCGCATGGTCGGCCTCTGCTTCCTGCCATCACGCCACCCTTGTCCTCACAACGGTATGGTCGGGTCCATCTGATATTCTCTGTAGATCTTGATAACCTCGTGTTGCTCTGGCTGGGTTTGGTGACGTGGGCCGGAATGGGCAGGCCCAATCGCACGTCCGTTGGCGGTGGTGATTGGTCCTGCGCGGACATCTCTGCTGAAACACTGATCCCCTTGAGTATAATCGGACTCCATGTATAGCCGCTGGGATCTATCGCGTCCGAATGCCTTCCTCTACATCCAGGGGAAGGTGACAGCTCCGACAGTCGTTGAGCTTGAGTTCGGGTGCCTTGCTCGCCACACCGTCTACGTTGATCGCTCACGGCCACCTTCCACCACTCGTAGCTCGTGCACCGCCCTGATTGCGACTCCGCTTGAGCATCGGGCGAGAACAAAAGCGGGCTTTCTCACTGCCGAGCCGTCTGATTGAACTGGTGTTGCATCTTGAACTATCGCGCTTGCGTAGGCGAAAGGGTTAATCGACAGCTCAATAACGTGCGACCTCGGCTGATACGTAGAAGAATAGGATAGGCGCTTTTCCGCTAGGAGACAGGGTTTGTCTTTTTGGCGTGGGTACGGCAACCGGTCTCCTGTCCGCGCGCTTACGCCTCTTGAACTGCAGAACCACAAGAAGGGCCGGATGCGATGATTTCGGGATGCGGGTGGCCTTGTTCCCCCTATGGGAAGATCCTGCACCGGCTGCCTGTTCACGGCACATGATGAGATACATCGGCATGGCGGTTCTGTGGGCCTGGGCGAATGCTAGAAGCTTTTATACGGCACCGGGAAAGAGGATACGAACTCCCCACCTCCACATCCTTCGTCTCACCCCCGTCCGCGCTTCTGGAGGGTTCCGACGCGATGGCGACGCCTTCAAACTCAACGGCCAATACTACGACCCCAGTTTTCCCTTGCCCCACCTGTGGACAAGAACTGAGCCGGCGCGGCGACCTCAAACGACATATAGCCCAACTGCACCCAACTGGTAATGAGCAGTGCGTTCAATCTTCGCTCGCCACGGTGGTCTCCCAGGGCTGATCGACAATCGTAGACTCTGGAAATGTCCCCACTGTCCCTACCAGCACGTACAAAAGAGCAATGTTAAGATCCACGCCGAGAAGCATGAACTCAAGCGGTACGTCTTTCCTGTAAAGCCGCCCACGGACACCAACACTGACTGTTCTCGCTATTGACCAGCACTGGCGAGCGCCCACATACATGTCCAGAGCCTGGTTGTACTGCAGCCTATCAAGACAAAGGACTTCTCACTCGTCATCGCAAGAAGAAGCACGGCTACCAGCCCAACCATTCATCGCGTTATCTCGAGAAGAAAGGTATACCATCGAGTGCAGAGAATACCGCCACATCCCGCCTGAGCTCTGACGATGGACGCACATCGGCTCGAGTCCAGATGATGTACGAATCACCGCACAGTCCGCCCGAGAGCATCTCGACGATAGGCAGCATGTCGCCTGCAGAGGTACACACGCGAGAGGGAGAGTCGGACGGTGAACATACCCCGCATCCTGGTCCCGAGTTCCAGGTCACTGCTCTCACTGGGCGATATGACGTGGCTTGTCAGAGTGATCCGGCTCCCGCTACCTCGACACTGCCACGGTTGCCACCTATCACCAAGCTCTTCAAGAAGGCGGACGATTGTGAACGTGAACGTCATCGATCCTACTCTATACCGCGCTTCCCAGGTCCTCTTGTCGTTGGTGACCGTCGTCCAACGTCCGCGCACGGTCACATTGATTTTCACGCTCCTCGCCCGGGATATTTTCAAGGAATCAGCGACCCCTCCCCCTTGCCGTTGGTGACCGCGTCGCCGGTGACACGTGAACGCCGGCCTTCGTCTACGCCATGCCTTCCTACACCACCAGCTTTTCGGACAACGTTCCCTTATCCGTCCGTCTCTCCCGAGGATGCCTCGATGGTGAGATCCACGCTCTCGCACCCAACACGCAACCCCGTCTCTTGTGCTCGGCGCCAGCGCCGACCAGCACCGTACTCCGTTGCGCGCGGCTCTGACTCGCCAGTGTTGAATCTCAGCGAGGCCCGATGGCACAAATGGTGGATGGCTCCTGATGCGAGTGAGAACTGTCTTGTCACGACACTCAATTCTCAGTACTGAATTCCTTCGATAGCACAAGCGCGTGAGACTAGCTCCCAGTTCATGGCCCGCCCCCATGCCGTCCGATCTCACTGAAGAGCTTCTGGCCGCGAGTCGATACCGCCAATGATGTTCCCACCCTCTACTTCTTCCTCTTCATCGTCACCTTGCTTTTGACACTGTATGTCGCTACTCATGACTTTGCTATCCTCTCCACATCACCCTACGCTTTCGATTACTTCTAGTCTGTGCCCTCTGTTGCGTGTATCTCGACTGCTGGATCTCAACTCAATTCAAGAACCCTGCCATCTTTTTCGTTTTCTCATGTAGCCATACCGTACTTTTCGTCTCGATTATACGATACCCAGATTGTATCTATCTTAGAGCACATCTGTTTGCCCCAAGGATCGAAAGTTCGTGCGATCCGGCAAGTTCCGAGGTGCGCTACACCTCGTGTTGAGTTGGATCAGACTCTTCTTTCCCGACGACGACGACCGATTGCCATTTCATACCTCGTTGCATCTATTCATACCCCACACGACGAGCACGGTACTCTGCACTCCGCCCTGTAAACTATGAAAGGAAGGCAATACTCTTTTACAGCTCGTGCTTCGCTTCCCTACATCATGCGTACGCCGCATATCCATTCGCGTCGGTAGTGGCCGTCGTGATCTGTCGCGGGCATCAGTCGAAGTCCTACAAGCGCCAGCCTCATTTCCTCCGGCTCTCGTATGAGAGCTGGGTGCCAATCGGAATCTCATACATCACCGTCCACCCCTCCTCAATCGACGTCGACATGAAGACCGGTTCTTCGCGCAAGGAACGTGTCACGAATCCCTCTGTTGCCGACAACGATTCCACGACTAGCTTTGACAGCTCCATGTCTGCTTCAGCCTCGAACGACCATGATACGGCTGTCGGAATACTCGATCCACAACAATCATCTCGGCGCAGGGAGATGTTGGCCTTGATTAACAAAATGAGAAGTACCGGGTACGCTTGGCAGTCTCCGGTCTATTGAATATGCTGTTGACTAGGATGGGTATACAGGGCGCAGCTCGACCTCGACCTTCCCGTCATCGCGGTCATTGGTTCTCAGAGTGCGGGAAAGTCGTCGCTTGTAGAGAGTGTCTCTGGTATAACACTGCCTCGTGCGTCTGGCACCTGTACACGGTGAGTTCATCGGCGCTGCCTTCGGCAAACTTAGTACTCACCACACACAGATGCCCGACAGAGTGTCTGCTGGCACAGTCCGACGGTCCATGGTCATGCATCGTTTCGCTGCGGTTGGTTACCGATGAGCACGGTGCCCCGTTGGACCAACCACGGACTGTACAATTCGGCAGCCCTATCTTCCAGAAGGAGGACGTTACGGAGCGCATTCGGCGTGCTCAGCTCGCCATACTCAATCCGAGCCACGACCACGAGCGCTACATTGAGGGAACGTGGGATACGAACACTTCCCGGGAGATCTCTTTCTCTTCCAACTGCGTTTGTCTCCATATCACTGGCAAGGATCTGGAGGACCTATCCTTTGTCGATCTTCCAGGCAAGCCTATATTGATGTACTCGCATACCGGTCTGACAACAGTATCGTAGGTTTCATCGTAGGAGGCGAGGCCGTAGATCGGGAGCTCGTGCAGAAGCTTGCAGAGGCTTATATATCAAAGCCCAGTTGTGAGTTCTTGAGCTTTGCCGAGGTTAGGCTGGGGCTGAACTAGCATAGGTATCATTCTTCTGACTGTAGCCTGCGAAAGTATGCTTTCTCCCCGAGTCATACGCGCTTACAAACTGATGATTACGCGACAGCGGATTTTGAGAATCAAAGTGCCCATCGACTCGCTGAGCAACATGACCCGCATGGTACTCGCACTATAGGTAATTTCAACTGCCATTGCCCATATCCAAGCCGCTTCTGAATCGAATCTCCGCTAGGTGTTCTCACGAAGCCGGATCGCATTCCCAAGGGGGAGGAAGAAACATGGATTCATCTTCTCAACGCCGAGCTCGATGCCGTCGATTACTTCTGCATCAAGAACCCCGCATCGCAAGAAATAAAGGACGGTGTCTCCTGGGAGTTGGCACGTACGCGTGAACGCGAGTTCTTCGAGAGCACTGCTCCATGGGCGACCCTTGATTGGCATCACAACCAGAAACTGGGAACCGACAAGTTGACGGCGCGCCTAGGCAAGAGCTTGACAAACTTGATCGTCCGGAGGTACGGTTCCCTCGCGAACTAATTCTGTGTAACGGTATACTAACTTAAGTTCAGGTTGCCTCAGCTTCAGGAAGAGCTCGAAAAGCTTCTCGAGACGACGGAATCGTCTATAGACACGCTGCCTTCTCCACCTTCGAGCGAACCCGTCGCAGAAATACTACAGCTTGTCGGCAAGTTTACGCAAGCAGTGGAGCGCCAGACGCAAGGTATACCATCTGAAGACGGCCTACTGCAGAGCCTGCGGCCGGCCCAAGTTACTTTTCAGCACGCTATTCGTATCACCGCGCCCGACTTCCGCCCCTTCGATAAGCCCGGGCCCAACGACGTAGCGCCCACAGTGCCCATTCGTACGTCTGATGCTCAGGTCTGACTCGCCTTGCATACTCAGCAATCCATCGACAGCTTCATTTTTGACCAACGAAGAGCGCGATCGTGACAGCATGTTCGAACCTATGGACGACAGGAAAGCTATCTACGTTGATGACGTCATGGCGAAGGCTCAAGCGTATGCCATTGCCAGATTTCGTGTCCGCTCAGATGGAAAGCTTACGCGTACTAACTAGTGCGGTGACACGCGAGCTGCCTAACAACTACCCGTTCGTCGTCACGCAGCAGCTCATTGTCAACGCTGTATCCAAGTGGGGTTCTCCAGCCGACACTCTCTTCAATGCGACGGCACAAGCGTTGCGTAAACGCCTGTCCGTTCTCATAGAGGAGCAGTTCGGCTAGTACGCGCTGCTCAAGCAGCGCATCTCGTACGCGACTTTTCACTATTCTTTGGTATGACTACTATGCTCAATACATATCCGTAGGAGCATCGTCTTCGAGCACTTGCGCGAACGCGCGGCCGACACTCAAGCCTGGTTGTCGCGATTGCAGATCATGGAACGGAATCCTTTCACTCGGAATGACCATTACTTCGCCGACTACAGAGAGAAGTTCCTCACTCATTACAAGGCGGTTCGTCGACAGGATAGCAATGATTTCATCGCTCGGCTTGACAGAGGAGAATCCGATGTCGACGAAGGCTTCAGGGAGACCCTCAACTCGGCAATGGCAAGCATCCACAGCCTAGGGTTCCACGAGTTTGCGCCCGCGAACCTACCCCGCCTCTTACCTCCCGATTCGTGCGAGGCTGCCATCGAGATCATGGCCGATGTGCGCGCGTACTTCCAGGGTGCGTCTACATCCGCATGTGACTAGCGTGGGTCTCATGGTCGCACAGTTGCGTACAAGCGCTATATCGACAATGTGCCCATGACTATCGACTACGGGCTCGTCTCAGGTATGAACATCGACCTCGGCAAGACTCTCTACAACGGCCTCGGTGTCGGCGGCGTGGAAGGGTTCGAGCGTTGTCGTCGACTACTCGAAGAACCTGAAGACGTCTCGCAGCGTCGCGATCAGCTCGTGAAACGGCGTGAACGATTGCGCCGCGCGCGCGAGGAATTGCTCGAGGTTTTCGCTTGATGCTTGATGCTTGATGCTTGGTTGTCGCCTTGTTCGAATTTGTCTGTCATCGCCAGATCGATCTGCAGCTCGTCCCTGATACTGATTGTTTCTCACCATGCCATTGATGCTGTTGGATGAGCGTTGTACTTTGACCACCATTGCCTTTGTCTTATACGATACACGCCTTTTCTTGACATCCCTATCTCAGTCTCTTCCATAAAATCCTCACGTATGCCTCGGGATCTGCGTCTTGGGCCCTTGCATTTACCGGCAGTGAAGCCGCGCTGTTGGCGATCTCGTATATATCGTCTGCTTCTGAAGATAAATTCGATGCGCCCTCATGGATAATTGACCAGGACGAATACCAGCGAATGCCTTCCCAGACTAGTACGCCGGACCCCTGTGATGAACCTACGGTCGGTGGCGGTAAAGTCCACTTCCTCCACCTGCTCTCTGCCATGCACCCTGATGCACCGCGCTGACGCTGACGGTAAAGTTGAGCCGTCTCGTCCGTCATGACAAGCTTTTAGCTTGCGGGGTCTCGATCGTGGTTACCGCACAGGGCGGGGTAACGACGGAGATTGCATCTGGAATAGAATGAAACATCCCCGCTGCTTCTTTCCTCGCGCGCTGCGCCCATCGCGCTCTGGGCGTTGCGCAGCTTAAATATGGCATGGCTCGAGTTTGTCTCGAGCTTCCCGGGCCCATATACCAGAGCGACCTCTTCTCTCGACGGTCACTGTGCCATCACCTTCGCTTTCAACCATCGCACAGCAGGACTGTTAGCGCCTCCACATTCTCTCTTTACCTTCGCTTCGTAAAGTAACAGCCTACGCGCTCTTCCTGCTCTTGAACCTAACACGCCTGAACCCACATAATGGCCCCTGGACATCCTACCTCATCCCCTCACGCATTCGACTGGTCGGTGAACGGTGCACCGTCCCCAAGCGAGAGTTTCCTGCTCTTCACAGAATCTGCCGGGTACTCTATCGCTGTTACTTCGAACCAACCACAACAGAGCAAACGCGCACGGAAGCGCGAATCCAGGCGGCTCAGCAGCGAGTCCTTCCTGTCGTTCTCTCCCCCGACCTCTCCCTCAGACGTCTCACCGCCAAACACTTTGAGCCCGACGGTCGCGTATCCCCGCGCTGGCAACCCTCATAAACGCGCACAGTCCGAGGCGGCGCTCGGTCACCGCCTCGTGCCCGCGCTTAGAACACCTGTCCCGCCTCCGCAGCCTCACAAACCGGCAACGGCATTCTTGCACACGTCCCCCGCAACGTCTCCCACCAACGCTCCCGCGACGTCTCGCACATTCCCCCCACGGCCTTCCAACAGTTCTGACCCACGACCCTCTACGAGTTCTGGCTTCCGTACGACGGAGAGGCCACGCGCATCATCTTCGCATGCTTCGGAAAGGCGTCCAACCGTCTCAAGACCCCCCGCATTGATGCTCCTGCCCCAAAAGCTCTCATCGCCTGATTCTCCGAGTCCATCTCCAACTGCGACAGTGGACAGCTTCGCAACCAAGCTCCCATCCCCAGAAGAGCTCCATGCGCGGCGGATTGCGAAGCTGCGCAAACACCTTTCAGCGTCTGTCCCCGCAGAACTCGTCGCACGACCAGCGCGCAAAAACTCGCACCGGGAGTCGGTTATCATGCCTCCTCCGCGACCGTCCACTAGCATGGGTGTACGCGAACCCGAGGTTGACTACGAGCGGCTGAAGAAGATTCGGAGGCATTTATCCGCATCTGTGCCAGAGCACCTCGTGTTGAAGCTTCCACCGCGGCTGGACTTGGACATGTTCTGCGATATTGACGAAGAGGACGAGGAATGCTGCAATGAGGGGTACTGGAGTGAACCGGAACGGGCGCCGTCCAACGAGTCGAACTCATTGGAGTATCACCAGTATCTCGATCTCCCTGTTACGGACGATGATGGACCCGTGAGCGTCGAAGTCGAAGTCGGGGTGTTGGGAAGGGTTAGCGAGGGTTCGGAGGATTCGAACAGGTCGGAGCGCCCGTGGCCGCCGACGCCTACAAGCACTATCTCGAGCTTCCGCCCCGTACGCGTTGAGCGCGGCAACCGGCGCGAGAGCGTCGAGTACGCGCAGATGATGAAGGCGCTCCGCTCCCTCAAGTGAGCGTCTAAGTCGACGTCTACGGCCATCCGCTGTTGAGTTTCACGTTAGGCGTAGGCCCCGACTCGACCGCGCGGCTGGCGCTCGGCTATGCTGGCCGCCGTGCACGCAAGCGCTCGCGCCGCCGCAATTAGCCCGGCGCCCAGCGACCAGTCTTCGTCTGAGCAGGTCAACGCACCTGCAGAGATGGAGCACCTGCTGGTTGGCGAGTCAACAACGCGCCGCCATTGTTGGGGTTTCTTGATCGTTTCCATCCTTTTCACGAACTTTCTGCTTTTTGGACAGCCTGCGGCTGAATGTTTCTTCATCATACTAAGGACTCGCTCTCTGACCCATCCTACCTTACCCAACCCAAATTACTCTTGTTCTGTTTGTGCTGTTAGCCTCACTAGACACTCCTACCTAATACATCGCACATTTGTTGCGTCTTTACTCGTCTTTGTCGGCATTGAGCACGCCATTCGCGCCGACTGTGCATGCGTCGTTCAGAAGGCGGAAAGGTCCACGGATGGCAATAAGTAGTCAGTTTATTTTCACTCGTACAACAGCTGGGCATGAACCGCCTATCGCCTTCCTCCGCCCATAGCAGCCGCTCCCGCCTGAACATACGGGATAGTCCCCTGCCACCAGCTCGCAAAGCCAAGCCCAATCAGCCCATGGAACACGCCCCACAGGATCTCGGGCGTGAACTTGTAGTTCTCTGCGAGCGCGCCGAAGGTATGCGGAATGAAACGAGGCGCTTGGAAGAGGATGGTCGACAGGGTCGTGTGATACAGGCCGAGTCCAAGTCCTACGGCGCGCTTACCGGCCATGAATTCTACAGCAGAGGGTTAGTTCACGGTTGAAGTCACCAGGAAAAGGGTAGCGTACCAGGTAGGCCGTTACAGAGGAGTGCCATGATACAAGTGGAAAGGCTCAAGACGGACCACAACTGTGTCCATTTGTCAGTTCGAGTTCAACACCAGCCAGAAGACAAATGTAGACCTTGATGAACACGAGCGTCGTGTTGTTCAACCCGAGGAAGGGTAAGCTGGCAGGGTTCCACCATCCCTGGAACGCGAGTGGACCCTCTAGCACGATGTGCAGGAGGAAAATCGTAGACCTGTCATGAAGACCTAAGCGCTGTACAGTTTAAACTACTAGGAAACATAGACGTACAAGGGGCTACGCGCAGAGACGGCTCCTGCTTGCGACATGGTGGAGGTTCGAGAGAAGGACACGTCTCGACGTCTCCCTACGTATCCACGGACGTGCTATAGCCTATAGGATGCCCTGTGGGATGATGCAGTTGATCAGGAACCCGCCTTATCTCACTTGTGCCACACAGGCTCCGCCGGAACCGCAGTGCTCGATGAATGGACCACAGATAAGAAATGCAGGCGCTATGTCATGTTCCAGCGAAATACATGCATTGCGAATTGCGTAAAGCATAGCGAAAAGTATACGACAGAGATGAAGAGCCGAGGAAAGGGAGGAATACAACAACAAGTCGGTATAGCTGCAAGATAGCCGTGTACACCGAGATTACAAGAAGGTTCCAAGTTCTAGGCATGTAGGTAGGTATCGCAGAGCTCTAGGTCATTTTCTGGCAGCATGAAGAGACGCGAAGGGACCAATGCCTCAGCGTCACTCGTCGTCTCCCTCCTCGTCCTCAGGCCTGTTACTCCTCTTCCAGGGCCCAAGATCAATACCCTCATCGACATCCCTTTCCAAATCGCACGCCTCTTCTCCCTCCTCCCAAAGCTCCTCTCCTGCGCCCGGCCCATTCAACCGCAGCCTTCGAATCTCCCTCCTGAGCTTGTCCATTTCGTCATCCCTCCTCGTTATTTGGCCCTTGAGCATCCGGATGTACTCGTTCCCACACCTCAACAATTGCAGCTTGCTGATTCCGCGATTGGGCCCGTCGACGTTGCCTCGCGGGGGACCGCGCGGCGGCATAGCGCCGGGTAACAGAGGCTCGTCGTAGCCGTCCTCAGTCGGCAGGGGGATAGGCGGTAGCAAACCGCGAAGCTCGTCGAACGTCGTTTTCAGGCTATCCCTCCTCTTTTGCTCCGCGGCTTTGTGCGAGGTTTTCTTAACCCCCGGCGGTCCATTCGCGGTCTGCGCCAATGCACCACCAGCATTCGACATCCCACCCGCCGGCAGAATAGGCTTGAGGGCGGGAGAAACGAGAGGAGTGCCGCCGCTTCTTTTGGACGGACCGGCAGTTGTTGCCGAGCGTCGGCGTGTGGGCTTGCTAGCTGACGGCTGCTGATCCTTGGGTGCTACTCCGCTCGGTGATGCCGAGCTCGAACTAGGACCTGACTGCACATGGGGAGGTGGGGCGAGCCCGCTAGCGCCGTTCAATCGACCGAGATTCATCATGCTCGCGGGCGTGACAGGCGTCATGCTCAGGGAAGAGTGCCCCAACGACTGCATACCGCCGTCGTGCTGGGTATGTTGAACACTGAACTCGACCGGACCGGGAGGCGCGGGAGGAGGCATGCTGAGGTCTACGGGAGACGGGCTGTCGCCGACGACCATGTCAAGCGCGCCACTGGCCGGTGTACCAGCTTTGCGTCCGCCCGGACGCGTAGAGCGCATCAACGGGGTGCTCGAGGCGGATTTGGTCCCGCGACGGGTGGATCGTGCGGGACCCGGCTGCGTCGGGACAAGGGCTGGAGAAGGCCTGGGACGGCCATACCTCGCTGCGTCCTCGTCGTTGGGCGATGCGGTGCGTTTGCTGCGGCCGCCACTGCCATGCGATGACGATCCTTCGTGCTTATTGTAGGCCTCAATCCAGGGGCTCGTAAGCGGGGACAAGTCGACGTCGTTGAGGTCACCGGGAGATGGCAAAGGCACAGGAGGCGCGGTATTGAAGACAATATTCGCGGGCGCAGAGTGTACTCCAGCCGAGTGGAGATGATGGGGGTGCAGCGGCAGCTCCGAAGGTGGGAGAGGGACAGAGTCGAGGTAGCTAAGAGTCATAGGAGACACAAAGTCGGAGCTCGGTTGGGCGTGAATTTCCGTAGAGTTCAAGGGCGTAGGAAGACCCATAAACATGCCCGCCGAAGACTGCTGCTTCTGCCGTTGGTCGACGTCTATCGGACCTCCCGAGCTTTGGCCGTTCATCATTTCGATCTGCCCATAATTCAGCGAGATGTGACGAATATTTAGCAAGTGGAACCGCATACCTGTTGTTGTATGATTTGGCTCTGGAGTTGTAGCTGTTGAAGCTGGTTGAGCTTGAGGCGCTGCTCGAGCATAAACTGCGGATTATTGTAGTTGCCGCCAGACCCCTGAGCGGGAGGCTGCATTTGGTTCATGATACTGCCCAGGTCGAATGCGCCGCCTTCCATCGGCAATTGGCTCATGGGAGGCAGGGGCGGGATATGCTGGGTGTGGTGGTGCTGGTGCGAGTAAGAGGAGTTGGGCGTCGTCGAAGCAGCGCCGTGCAACTCGTGACTGCGGCCGTTCACGTTCTCATGATTCCGCGCGAAGAGTTCGTCAAAGAAGTCGTTTTGTCCAACTCCACCTTCCGCCTGGCCGGGCTGCAGACCCATCTCGTGCATCCCGTCCATCGGACGGCGAGATAAAAACCGGAAAGAATGTAGATGAGGGCGGGAGGGAGAAAAGTCGAGCTCGCAGGCACCCGTCTCGAGTTTATTAGTTTTCCACGTGGTAGATGGCCGCTCTGTTCTCCGTTATTTTTTCTGCGTACGGAAGTCCGCTCCCGGTCGATGCTCGGTCGGTATGCGTAGAGTGTAAACGACGATCACCTCGGGAGATGGGCTGGGTACAGGGCGAGCCACTCAAGAATCTCAAGCGAGGCGGCTATAACGCCCGTGTAAAGCAGCTGAACGGTCGGATCGGGCCGGACTTCTGCGCCGGCCACAGTCGCTTTCGGCCTGCTTTCGGCAGCCGTCTGATCGTAGGGCGCCGATTAGAGGGCGAGTCCAATCCAGCGTAGGCTGTTGCTGTACACGCACATGAAGGATGCTACGCACGCATGTCGACTTGAGTTGAACTCAAAGCAACTCTCGTACGCAAGCGGTCAAGAAGTGCAGGTCAGACGAGCCCTAATCTGCGGCAAAACAGGCTGAGCAAAGCGGTAACTCAGCGATCGACCGAGCCTTGGCACCCCCCACTCTCCGTGAGCGGAACTCTTCATTCCTGTGGAACTTTGCGTTCTGCTGACAGTACTGAAGGAGAAGATGTGAGGGGCGGCGTGGATCGCAGTCTCCAGTCGGTGAACTCTCCGAGATCTACGCTACCAATTGCGAGACTTGCCACAAAGCGCTCGCGCCGACGGCACTTTACTGTCATGGTATGGCATGACTATTCATGCAACAAAGACTGAGAGAGCCGATGCGGGTGCTGCGCAGCAGACACCGGGACAGAAGGAGAGGTTTGTTCAAGGCCGGGTCGCGCGTGACGAAACGCGTCTGTCACGTCGCCTTGCCCGGCGCTCCGAGTCGCGACGCGGCGAACGGCACTTGCCCTCTACCACCATCAGTCCTGGCCCTTCGCAGTCGTATAATCATGCCCGCAACCTATTCTACGAAACTCCAAGATGGAAGAGACTGCTCGAGCTATATTCTCAGCATCTGCAGATCATCGACGGCGACCTCGCTCCCCGCTAGTCAATACACAAAACGATCACCCCGGCGGCGTCGGCGTTTCCGGTGGCGTTCAGCCTGATATAGGTTCCAAAGACCATACATCTCGAAATTCCAGCTACCACCATTGATCTTTGTCATCCTCACCCTTCATGCTGGAAGTCTTTCTGACCCTCTTCGCGACTGCGGCCATCTTTTGCTATCGGCGTGTTAGGGCCAATGTAGGCTCCTCTACAATGAACGTTCTGAGTACACCTGAATCAACTTCCTCCTCAGGCCGCTCCGGGTATCCTGGTACTGCGGCCCTTTGTGTCGCCTCTCAGCACCCTCGGCTTCATGTTCCGCAATCATGACGTCCTCAATCCGGGAGGACGCTGGAGTTGGAGAGCGCGCCAATCTGGTACGTTCTCTATTCATCTCATTATCAACGCCTCCCTCCTTGAGGATCATAGCGTATGGAGACTATCAAAATGATATGGTTGCCTTTGTCCCTTTCATACCGTACTCCCGCGCTGGCGAATACCACATCTCGTCGCTAGAGGTTATGAAGCAGGTTTGGGGAAACGACAGTCATGCTCAACATGTCAAACCTCCCGACTTGAGTCTTGTACGGTGCGCCAACTTTCTTCATGAGTAGCTCCACTCTGATCCTGAATGCCTTTATAGGTTGTTCGGCATCAGCGTCGCCAGCGGTGGAGGCGAGTCGTGGCGCCGTCACCGGCGCCTTGTAGCCCCGACGATCAATAACACCACGTGCGTGACCTATTCTCGCCTAGAAACAGGACTGACTATCCCCAGTGTTCGAACCGTCTGGTATGCCACTAGACGCGTTATCAGAGAGATGTTCTCAGAAGAGAAATGGGACGAACGTGATCAAGTGACTGTCCATGACGTTCACCCTCCCATTCTCAAAGTCGGTTCATCTCTATATTTCTCTCTCCGAGTCTACACGTGGCTGATCGCGACCGACGTAGTTGACTCTGGCGACTCTGTGTGAAGCCCTTTTCGGCGTCAGGGCATCGTGGTCGTCTTCTATGGACGATAGCTATCAATTCAAGGAATCTTTGCGGGTCGTGTCCGAGTCACTTGTACCCCGTCTCATCCTTTCTAGTTGGATCTATGGATGGACTTCAAAGTAAGGCGCATCAACTCGTGACGAGACGGAGCACTCATCAATAGCGACAGACTCCGTGCCATCGATCAAGCTTGGACAGACGTGATATCCTATGTCTCGGGATCAATTCAACATGCGAAGGTGGCGCAAGAGGGCACCGAGGTCGACAGGAAGACAAACATACTGGAGCAGCTTACAGCATCCGCCTTTGGTTCTTCATCAAAATATACTCTGACAGACCGCGAGGCAGTAGGTCTGCTCATGATCTCACGTTCTTACCACAACTGACAATCATATGAGATTGCGAATGTCTTCACCCTCCTCTTCGCGGGACACGAAACCGTCGCCTCGACACTGCTTACTGTGTTGATGTATCTCGCGATACATCAGGATGAACAGCTGAAGGCCGTAAAGGAGATACAGGATGTGCTTCACCAAGACGTGCCGGAGGACGCGGTATTTGTCATCGTGCTTCAAGCTAGCCTCGTCCAAGCTGACTCTGATCATAGGAATTTGAAGGTCATGGCCGTCTCGTCCATACGCTGCATTGCTTCTGGGAGGCACAGCGTCTTCTGCGTGCGTATCTCGACCTTTCTGACGTTTACTCGGGTATTGACGGACTCCCTCATACACGTACAGCTACTGCTTTCTTCATGCCGCGCGAGATGACTCAGGACTTGGTCGTTCACGTCACTCGTCCAGAGCCCACGACAGTCGTGCTCCAGAAGGGCGACATAGTCATCGCCGACCTGGTGGCCATCTGTAGGTGCTTCTGCTCAGGATAGTCCCACATACTAACCGGACTTTCCAGTCAGAAACCCGCACGTATACGAGGACCCCGAGGCGTTCCGCCCATCGCGCTGGGACGGCGTATCAGAACACGAGTTTCCTGGGTTCGGTTACGGGCCGCGGATCTGCGTTGGTGAGAACGTGAAGAGACTTTTCAGCCCGATACAGGCTCTCACGAATACATAGGGCGCAAGCTCGCTCAGACCACTGGTCTAGCCGTACTTGCGACTATCTTGCAAACCTGGAAGATTGAACCGCTTCTCGGGGATGGAGAGAGCTTTGACCAGTATGCGGAGCGTGTGACGCGACAAATCGCTTTTGTCGGGACGTCGTGGGTGTTTAAGGATGCTCCTCTCACGTTCACGAAGCGCGCGTCTACAGGGTGAACTCAGTGCCACATATACCCACGATGTCACCTCTACCGAGGTCTTCCTGATTGACTCCCTGGTGGATCTACTGCGGCACTATGCGTAGAAATACGATTGTGACTTCTCTCGCCCGTATGAGTTCGTTCTTATTCTGAATCGGAAGCGCTATCAAGATCAACCATGTCACCTGGTTCTTTCCTACACCATGCGGCATCGGAAGCAACGTGCACTGCACTATAACATGCTATGTGTCTTGTTCAAGCCAGGCATAAGTACCCCTTTGACGTAGAACGTCATGGACGGCGACGATGATATTGAGTCCCTTCTGCTCATCGCTCAATTGCAACTTGACGACGCTTCAGAGGCGCAATCACGCTCTACTGGCAAGCTCCGTGAGGGTTCGCCATCCAGCGACCTTCAACTAGCTCTCGATAGTCAGGTCGCCTTCCTTCATGGATACCAGAGGCTGCTCGAGGACAGGAAGCTTGCTCAAAGCATCGATCGCGCTTTGGAACAGGATCAACGTATGCTCGGGCTGTTTGCCGCGGTAGACCAAGGGGAGCAAGATGATCGACAGGCAGCACTGGCTCTATCGCGCGGCGAGCGACTTCCTCCTGAAACTCAATCTCAGCGCTCTATGCCTGCAGTGGTTGCTCTGGCGTATGTGAGCTTTGGATTTCGTGTCATGGATTCTCACATGAGAGCGCAGATCGCAGCTAGACGCCGAAGAAGATCGCGCCGCAAGTGACAACGATGAGGAGACGCAGGTAGGGAGCGACGCTGGCCCCGATTGGGATTCAGACGAGACGGCTTCTATGCCCGGGGCTTTTGTACCCCAGATGCGCAGGCCTGCAACCTCCAGGGCTGAGGGTAGCCACGGTGGTCGGTACGTATATCTAATCCCCGGGCGCCTTGTTTACATTCGCTGACAACATTTGCTAGCGCCGAATGCATAATTTGCACTGAACGCCGTCGTTCCTCTGCCATGTACCGCGCGCCTTGCGGACACCTGTACTGTCTAGGATGCCTCGTAGACCTCGTCGAAGCCTGCACGCGTGACGAAACGCTCTACCCTCTTCGATGCTGCCAGCGCGAACTTCCTGAGGAAGACGTGTTACGACGTCTGACCTCTCGTTTGCGAACCAAATTCAGTGGGAAGGCCGTTGAGTTCCGGGTCCCAGCTACCCAACGTGTATACTGCATCAACCCTCACTGCTCAGTCTTCCTTGGTCCGGCCGGAGAAGATAACACGTATCTCGTTTGTCTTCGTTGCAACGCCTCAGTCTGCACCGGGTGCAGGAACGAGGGACATTCTGGAGAGATGTGCAGGGAGAATGAGGCCGTGCAACTCCTCGAGACTCTGGCTACCGATAACGGGTGGCGGCGTTGTGCGGGTTGCAACGCAATGGTTGAGCTCAGTCAAGGTTGTTACCATATGACATGCCGGTGAGCTTCTACCTCGACGTGTTCTATCACACCGCTCTGACAGTGGGTACCATAGTTGCAAGCATCAGTTCTGCTATCTTTGCGGGGAGCGATGGAAGACCTGCGGTTGCCCACAATGGGATGAAGGAAGGCTCTTGACTGATGCGAATCGCCGAGTAGTCAATGAGCACGGCGCTCAAGCGGCAGTTAGGCAACCCGAGCAGCACGCCGAGCGTGTCCAGGAGGCGATGTTCCAGTTGCGAACGAACCATGCTTGCTACGCACATACGTGGGCTTACAGGCACGGTGGTGGAAGATGCGAGGAATGCTCCTTCCATCTGCCTCAGTTCTTAATGGTGAGCAGCCGATTGGCATCATCAAGTTGTTCGTGGTTTTATGCTGACATTCGAACAGCGGTGCCGCAACTGTCAACTACTTGTCTGCCGGCGATGCGCCCAGAATCGGTTCTGAAATGTACTAGCAGATGGTTCACATATACGTTTTCTTGACATGACTATCACAGGCGGTTCTGTGTGCACCTCCTGCACGCTAAAGTCTGACAATGTGTGCAACGCTTCACAGTATGGTCAGTCAAGCATTGAAAGAGAAGCAGTACCGAGCACGTACCATCAAGAACACCGACTCCTTATTACCGCACTCTTCGCAAGTGCCTTCGCCATGTCGATAGGCCCAAGTATGACCAGTGCATATATGGTCTTCTTGAAGCTCGTCGATCGCCTCTTCCAACCTCTCTGCGTGCCGCTCCGGATCAGCCGCAGCAGCATCTACGCCATGCGCGTTGTTGACCCTCCTTTCCGCATCTGCCATAAGTCTCCCCTCCTCCCACTGTGGACATGGGCACGACTTCCACGTACGTCCACAGAGATAGCAGAACTGGTGGCGACAACGGCATGTTATGTGGAAGCAGCCCTGTGTGAGCTCTACAATGGCATTGCATCCACCGCAGCGACGCCACCCATTTCCCGTCGCTAGCGCATCTAGAGCACGAAGAGCTTCTGGTTCACCGCACATAGAACCGGGGTGTACGGCAGCGCGGCAGCGAGTGCATGTGGCGCGAGTGCAGCGCTCGCAGACACGGTCCGTGTGTACGTCTGGGGTAGTACCGAGGAAATGTGAACAGCGTGGGTTCGCACAGTACACGCGTCGTTTGGCTGGGACCAGGTACTCCGTTGCTCGCGCTCGATATGCATCCTGGAGTTCGTTGGGTAAACGCGGTGTGAAGTCGCCCTCGGGAATGTTTCGTTGACAGCACCGGATTGGAAAGAGGGTTTCGTCGTTCGTGCAGGCACCGACGAGATCAATGATACAACCATTGCAATACATGTGCCCGCATGGCGCACGGCACATCATCGTCACTCGTCGTCGCTCAGTGCAGACGACACACTCCGCTCTGTGCGCTTCTCGTTAGATGGGTTGGTCAACCGGCGAGATCAAGATCGCACCGTTGAGTAGATGTACCGGAAGCCGCAGATCGAGAGGCAGAAGAGCTCTTCGTTGTGTTGATTTTGGTGGCAGCTTTGCTACCCAGGAGTGACGATGCTCCGAGCAGGGATAGTAGAGATGGGGCACTTGAAGATGAGACCGAGGAACGGGCCATAGAAGCAGAATCGGACGGCTTGATAGTTGACACTAGGGACGGGGCAGGAAATGTTGAAGATGTCAACCGCGCAGGTGTCGACCTCGTGGCGCTGGAAACGAGAGTCGACGATGACGCTGTACTTGCGGTATCTTGGGCGTATCCGCGCCGTCGAGCGAACTCATTGTCCTGTCCGAGCTGATACCTAGATTCAACGTATCAGAGACGCTCTCAATTACATGAACAACACGCGACACCGTACATATATGCAGGGAGAGACCTCTGGTAATCAGTCTCAGCCGGTAGCGCCTCGTCTCGCGAGAGCGCTTCCGCAGCCACACGGTCATCGCGTTCGGCCTGGTCCACGCTGGCCATGAGAATGAGCATCTCGCGGTCGGCATCCACGGCACGATAGACACTTTGGGCGAGCCTCCTGTCTCGTAGAAGAATCTGCTGCTCCTCTAAGACGACTTTCTGGTGGTGTAGGGCCACCTGGGTGTCCGTAGCCGGTGCGTCGATGCGAGCCTTCCCTTTCTGCTGGGATTGAGCAGCAGCCAGATCGTCGAGCTGCACCTGCGTGACAAGCAGCTGGGTATCGAGGTCGTCGTCCTCAGTGTCCATTGGGAGTCCAGTCAGGCCGCCTCAGGATGCGAAACGTATAGATAGTACTGCTGGTGGGTGCACGTGGTGTAGGAAAGAAGCAGGATGTGGAGGGCAAGGGACGGATTCAGATCGTCATTCGCCGAGAGCTGTACGTACAAGGTTCCTATCCGTATCAGAAGAACAAGCGAGGCAAGTCGCACTGAAGATGGATATCCGGATTGCCTGACATGATTGCTTGTGCCAAGTGAGGCGATCAACGTGCCGCGAATTGGGCAAGCAGAAGACGTAACCGCGGTAGCGTGACTTGAGAGGGAGACTAGCGCGCTGAATACTCTGTTTGTTGAAGCTGCATCCAAGACGATCGTCATACAGCGTTCATTATGCACAAATGAGAGTTGATAAGTACTCTAGACGAGACTGTTGAGAGTCTACGTATGTACAAAACCAGGCGGCGGCGTTGAACCTTTGAAAGCACGCGACAGCACATCATCGAACAGATACATGTATCATCCTACGTCTACCAAATACGCGTCTCGAGGAGAAGGTCAGAGCTACCCTCAATGCCGATGCAAGCCTTGAGGAACGTCTCGAGCGCGTTGCGCTGGCGCGAAAGCGAGTTGACGACGTCCGTGCCGGGCTTGACGAGCGGCGCCTTGAGCATGTAGCTGAGCAAGCTGAGGACGGGGTACAGCGGCTTGAAGTCCTTCGCCTCAGCCTCGTCGGCCTTGCGGTACTGGATGCGCGTAAGGAGCTCAGCGAGGATCGAGAGGTCGAGGATGAGGGGCGTCGCGAGCAGCGAGTCCTCGCACTCGTTGAAGATCGAGATCGTGCTGCGGCCACCGCCCATGATCTCGGAGTAGTACTCGTCGATCGCGCGCTTCGAGTCGCCAACGGCGGGCATGTACTTGATGACGACGAGATGGTCAGGGTGCTCGCCCTTGGAGCCGTCCTTGCCCTTCGGGAGCACAGTGCCTGCAAAAATGATGAGTGGCTGACGTCGTTGAGTTAGGGAGACAAGAACGTACCATCGGCCTTGAGCTGCGCGGCGGTCTTGTAGAGCAAGTTGTTCGACGCGACCATGTCGTCAACGACCGAGCTCTTGGAGATCTCCTTCGACTTGAACTGCGCCTCCTGCGAGAGGTTCCAGCCATCGTTGTTGCCAAGATGGTTGTAGCTCGCGATGGAGAGCGGCTTGATACCAGCGTTGACGAGGAACTCAGCGAGCACGGACTTGAGCTTCGTCTGGCCGGACTTGAGGTCATCACCGCCAATGAACGAGCCGGTGCGCTCAGCGAGCTCGATCACACCAGGAACGAAGGTGTTCTGGGGCGCGCCGTTGATGAAAGGAACGCCCTCGAGAATCGAAGCGACGGCGAAGACGGTGCTCGGGGCGATCTCGGAGTGGGAGCTCTTGATGGACTCGAGAAGAGCATCGGCCTTGTCGTTGACGCCGGGGACGATGTCGGAGTAGCGCTCAGTGTTAGCGGTCCAGAAGACGATGATCTGGTCGAGCTCATGCTTGGCCTTGAAGTCGCGGATGTCCTTGCGGATCTGCTCAACATGCGCCTGCTTGTCCGAGCCGGGAAGGACGTTGTCGGCACGCTCCGCCTGGTTGGCAGCGATGTAGTCCGCGTAGTAGACCGACGGGAGCGGGGCACCCATCTCGCGCATGTACGGGGCGACCTGACGCTGGAGATCGTACTCGAGAACCTGAGCACGCTCCATGGCCTTGTCCATGGTGAAACCAGAGATGTCCCAGCCGCCGAGAACGAGGTCGTTGGGGTGGACCATCGGGAGCAGGTCCGCGAGAGGCGCATAGATGTCCTTGTTGTTGGCGTCGAGGCCGAGGCGCACGGTCGACGCGCGGAGCAGCGAGCCGAGGTAGTTGGGCGACTGAACGCCCGACTTGGTGTGCCACGAGATGTTGTGGCGGTTTGCGAGGATGGTCGCCGTGAGAGTCGTGCCGTTGTTGCCGCCGAGACCGACCATCATCAGGCTGTGAAAGCACGCGTCGCGTCAGCCAACAAGGCACGTGGGCGCGAAAATCGAGATAAGATGTGAACCCACCCAGTCTTGGGGACCTTGCGCGTCGTACGGAAGTCGTACGCGGTCTGGTTCGGCTGCACGAGGAAGCGGCCTTCCTGCTGGACGACGACATCGGCACCGCGGTTGACAAAGCGGGAGGTGATGTGGTCCTCGGTGTAGGTCGTGTTGGGGCCCTGGACGGTGATCGAATCCGTCGGACGGCGGGCCGCCGTGGGGTGAACGGGGAGGTTGAGCGGCGCGTCGAGGACAGAGCCCTCGCGGGAGACGTCGCCGGACGATGGGGTGGTGTTGGGAGCCATAGTGATTTAAGATTTATAGACGATAACAGCAAGAAAAGGGCAATTTAATGTTGTGGAAGCGGGGGCGCAGCGGTGTGCTTGTGACCTCTGTGCGGATTGTGTGTGCTCGACAGCTGGTTTGAGAACATGCACCGGGTGGTGGACGGGTAACGATGGACGTTGGGAGAAAAAGATCGGCTGCTCGGCCAAGGCTTTTATATGCTCTCGCTCTGCTGTCCCGATCGATGGTGTCTGCGCATGGCCGTCGGTGTGCCCTTGATTGCGGGCGCGCGTCTGATTTCGAACGTCAACTCGAACCACCACCTTCCGCATTCTGCAGGCTCCGTATCTTCCCCAACGGAGCCCCTCACTACCCTCCGCCGGTTCATTCGCTCTTGAAGCGCTCAAAATAATCATTCACTATCATGTAGAAGGTCAATCCGTTCGTCTTTGCGGGATCTCGTTCGTGAGATAATGTCAAGTCTATTTTGCCTCCGTTCTTCCATGCTCGCAGACACATGTGCACCACGCAAGCAGCCCCGGAACGTTTCCTGCAACGCGCTCTTCCTTACGTGGATGTTAGTGCGCCTTGCGCTGAGCCGTGGCCCGCCTATCACTGTCGGGCACTCTCCTTTGATTTCTCAGGGAAGCCGCTGTGCGCGTCTTCGAGCGCTACTACAGCGCTTTCTGAGCGGCACGAAGCTTCAAACCCGACGAACCAAAGCGGGGTTCCCGCCGATAAATGCGATAACTTGTCTGCGCACTCCGAGGAAGTACCGCAGAAAACTCAGCGTGTATTACTTGGCCGAGTGGCTTGTGCTTCTGTCGCCACTTTCGTGCAATCGCCTTAGCGTGCTCTGAAAGATCTTCGTACTCGACCATCACCTGGGGATCTCCTCGTGTCGTTGGCGTGCTCGCGCTCGCGTGCATGAAGCTTAATGAGTGCGGCATCGTACGCTCGGACTGGGACGAAAAGAGTGGTATTCAGCCGCATTCGCCGTCGAAGATACCTTCGATGGCATCGTGGCGTGGAAGGCGAAGACTACCCTGACGAATGGAAAGTTATCCAGATGTCCCCGCTGAAACGCGCGTGATAGTCTGCCTTCAACATAACCGTCATCTCATGCCAGTATACGCATATCTATCGCTTCAAGGTTTGCGCGGTGACTGGTTCCCAAAGCCAGCTTCTAGCGTGGTAGTAGGCATTGAAGCTGCCGCCACCGCCGCCGCCGCAAGCAAGGCTGAACTACTCCGATGAACTCCATTCATCTTCCTCCAGTGGGAATAAGATACCGGCGGCCGTTGGACTCGGAAGCTTGCTAACTCAGTCTCTGCGCGAAGTAGATCATAGATGCACTCTTTCGCAG